AGTCACTTGTCGGTGTGCCCACAGTCAGGTAGTCGCCATCGCACTTCTCCTTACCGGTCGCGATATCAACCTGCTTCAGCGCACGCTCGAAGATCTCTAGCGCTGCAAGAGGCTGGTAGAAGGGTACCTCGTGACCAGACTCGTAGATGCGAAGGAAAGAGAAGAGACCTGCCTGCTTGACCTGGCCATGGACAATGCCGTCGCTGGTGGTGATATTGGTGAATCCAGCCTCAGAATAGCCCGTAGCGTTGATCATGTCAGCGACAACTTGTCCACCGAGCCAGTTGCAGTTGTAATCCGCATCACCATAGTACAACATGACCTGAACGCCCGCATCGAGCAGCTCCTGGCAAGCCGCAATGGTACCTGATGGACGGTCATCGTCACCCGTGTTGCCAAACGCAGCAGAGACCGTGCTGGAACTCTGGGAGAAGTTCTGGAATGCGCCGATCGCCTTTTGCACATCTGGCAGATTCAGGTAATCGGCGAAGTATCCGTAGGGGAATGGGTCTGGCGTCAGCTCCCTCATGTCGTACTCGTCACGTCCACTGTAGATATCGTAGAGATTCTCGACCTTGGAGTAGCAGAAGTCATCCGCGCTGGCACACACAGAGTTGATTCCAGTCTCGTAGCATTGCACGGTTCGGTCGTAGCAGTTACCTGGGCCGTACATGTTGTTGTACCACTCAGCTTTGACCGTGTCGTTGTACGGGTCATAGTCATAGGTATTGCCAGGGTAAACAGAGTAGTTGTAGTAAGCCTGGTACTGGACAAGAGGATCGAACCATCCGTTTCCAATAAGTACATTCTCGAGCTCGATCTTGTGTGCGCCCGAGATGTTCTTTGCGTTCTGCTCGAGGAAGTAGGCGTTAAAAACGGGTCCGTAGTGGCCTCCGTAGCTCTCAGTTGTGAAGCTGAAGCCGTTGCGCGAATACTGCGGGAACGCACCCATGAAACCTTGCAGTGTCTTCCACATGCCTGGCGCCGCACCCTCGGTGCTGTTGGCAGTCAAAGTGTGGTCTGGCTTGGAGTATGTTCCGCATGTTCCGTATGTCTGCGCGTAGTCTGGGCAAGTCGCGTTTGGCAGCTGAACGATGGTGCTACCGTCTGAGTAGCCCGGGATTGGAATGGAGTAGGAGAAGCCAACATCGGTAGGCTGATCGATAAACAGCATGTTGCTTGCATTGCTCCACGAGTACGGGTTGTTGAATGGCTTCAGATCTGGTCCAATACCGCATGGTCCCAGTTCCTGGAAGAGACCGATCATTGAGCTGGAGCCTGGGCCTCCATTGATCCACTGCAAACAGCATTAGTATATCCTTCTTGTGTTTTGATGAGAAGCTTGAATCATCCCAATTTTAGCCTAAAAATACTTGTAGGTCATGGCTACATCCAATATACTTCCATAAACAATTCCTCCAAAACACAACCCAGAGGACGAATTTCTCTACACTATGCGACTTACCACTGTCAATGGCGCCTCAGAGGGATCCTGATTGCGCGACTCAAAGAACCACCAGAAGACGTGCTGATCCTCCGCAATATCCGCATATCCACTGTAGCTCTTCACATTTGGATCAAGCTCGCAGATACCCGTAGGTACCTCCTTGTATCGTACGCTGATGTTCGCATAGCCTTCCTTGGTAATCAAATCCGTGGGCGCAGGTACGAACTGTGCAAGAGTACCAGCTGCCAACAAAGGCGCGGCGAGTAGCTTCTGTGCGCTCTTCATTTTCGGGGTTGTCGCAAGTCTCCGCGTATTGATGAACTTGCCCGACTCGATAGAGGTGAGGAGAGAGGGAGCAAAGGTAGCGGTGGCTAGAAGAAGAGCAAAGCAGCTTCTCATATGACGCGTACCAACTACATTTTATCCTCGAAGCTTATGCAGGTCCGATAGCCAGCTCTCACCTTCCCATGTGAGCTAGGTATTTGCTTATCTCGGTGCCGTGCATGCTGGCCGTTATCCAGTGCTCGTACCAACGACGTCATGGTATACTTCGGTGCATCCACATTCGCATACGGCCCTTCGCTATTTGAAATTTCCGTGAACGGGTTGCCGGCACAAAGATTGGTCGCTTGGATGTAGACCAATTAGCGACGGGGTTTCAGTCCAAACAAAGGCGCTCAATGCATCAAATCCACGAAGACCATGAAGCTGGCGACTGTCAACCGAGCGAGAAGCTACCAGGAAGGTACCCCGCTATTCGGTCCCAAGCTTGCATTAGCAAAGGCTTGTACAAGCTTACATGGCTTGATCGCGGTCGAGGCGATAGTGGAAGATGATCTATGCCTGTATGGGAAGGTGGTAGGCACCGGGTATCCGTGAGTACGGACAGACAAGGTCTCTTCGGCGCCGCGGCTTCGATAAATCCCTCTATGACATTCCTTGCAGAGGGAACATTGTCTTGCTTACCCTAGATAGTGGTTGTCCGATTCCGTACGTGGTGTTCTTTTCCCAGCTCTTTGGTCCGACAATCAGAGTGGAGTTGTCGCGTCAATACCCAGAACAGCTAGCGCCATGAAACACGAGGTTCGCCTCAACAAGCACGCGACACAGTCCAAGGTTGTCATTCAAACATATCTCATTGGGGTTCATACCATTGTGGTAGGTATTGATCTACCCATTTCCATCACTTCATAGCAATCGTCAAGTCCTCCCAACGCCTCTTACTCCATGCTATGCAATGATGCAATCGAGGCCGCTGGTCAACTACAATACTGTACCGAAACCGAAAGTCGTCTTGATACTTCGGACGTAGTACTGGTCCCAGTTGGTCTTGGTGGGTTCCTCTTGACCAACTGGTACACCCTTCCACTCTACCCTCATGACCGTCACAGCATCAACATCGTTCTGATCAAACCATATCGACAGGGTCGAGTAGTGTCCCGCAGGCCATTGTGCAAGTCGCCATTTCTGGACGATGTGTGTGGGTTCCTGGAGCTCGGTGAACTCTCCACTGACGTTTCCGCCGAAGAGCTCGAATGTGCCGCCAGGTTGTGCGCCTGTCCAGTTCCTTGGTGGGGCCCGCGTGAACGCAGCGATGCGTTGCGGGTCTGTGAAGGTCTGATAGAGGTTGGCCGCATCTGTGCGGAACTCTGTGCTGTCGGTGATGGTAGTCACATTGACAACTGCGCCAGAGCTGCTCTTTTGAGAGCCGGATGCTTCGGTCTTGGAGCTGGACTTGTTCACGCTTGAGCTCGAGTATACCTTTGGCGCTGTGAAGCTGCTACCAGGGTTCACGCCTGGTGCATGCTGGATATCCTTTCCGTGTTCCGCCATGACCGCGGGCGCAAGCTGGGTGAAGCTTTTACGCAGCTGCGGTAGGATCTTGGATCGTACTAGGTCCTTTACGGGCTGTTTGCTGCTCTCGTCCGAGTAGACATCTACCTCAAACTATGGCGAACTGTTAGTCGCGATGCACAAGGTCACATGGAGAAATCAAGGGTGGTGCCAGCGAAGGGAACATACGACATACTCGTCTTCCTCGGTGTCATGAGCGACTTCGGGGACGGTAATGGTGCCGCTAGCCTCTTCGCCCTCTTTGTTCTTGCCTGCCGACCGAGTCAGCTCAGCTCGCCCAAGAAGAGTGCAACCGAGAAAGACCTACCCGAGTATTCGAGCTTCAGTTTGACATCAAAGATGGTAATCACTTTGCCTTTGCGTTGGCTCACGTCTACGTCACCATCCATGCTTACGACTTTATCGATCTTTGCTGTCACGCCATCCTGCTCCGCTGATATCTGCGTGAGCTCCTTGTCGAGGTACTCGCGCGTCCATCCCGACACATCCTTGTTGACCCAATGCCAGTTGTTCGGGTTGTGGAGGACCATGGTGATGTCTGAAGAGCGCGCTCGATCTCGATAAAACTTCTGCGAGAGGCTTGTTAGCTTCAATCTCTTCCACTTATGCAAAGATAAACGCGTAGTGAGGTATTGTCAGAAGGCGACTAAAAAGTCTAAGCAGCTGATCCGCATGCAAAGAGTACAAGTCTTCTCAGACTGGTGCCAGCTTGTGTCTCATCATTCGAAAATTGGAAGAGGGCGTTCAATACTTACAATAAAAAGCGCTGATGCTGAGACTGAGCTTCACGGCGCGCGAATTAGAGCGATGGTGTGGAATACAGAAGGAGAGTTCTGCAAGTTATGTAGAGGGGAGCTCGAGGCAGAAGTTTCTGGAACTGATATCCCAGGACGCGCTATGCTCGGGCCGACCAAAACGCCGGCCGTCACCTTGGCCTGTGCTTACAGCAGCACCCACTACAATGCAAGATGTATGCTTGTGAGCGCCATTTGTTCGCTTGTCTGCCAACGTTCTCATGAGACAGAAGGCTTCTTCATTCATTACTCCTTCGTCAAGAGTTCTTGGCAGATGGACATAGCCGAGATTTTGGAAGCCCATCAACTGGTGGGGGCCTATGGCTGCCTTCACCTGTGCGCAGATCCGTGCATACAGGATGCACTGGCATAGGAGACTATGCAGCGATCGAACTATCGGTTTCACAAAGATTCCGGTATCAAAATCTCAATCTAAGATATGCAAGACAGTGTCTTTATTGAATACGACACGACTTATCGAATGCAAGACAGTGTCTTGACGAAACACACACTATTAGCTCAAGCTCAACTAAAGAACGCCTCCATCTGGGCGACAAGATCAGGCACCTCAGATAAGGATCCTTGGGCGAGGACATTGTCCTTAATCGGGGTACATTGTCTCAACTTTGCTTCGCTGCGAAGCATTCTTAAGAGATACCCTTCGGATTGCGCTGTCTTCCGTATGCTTCGCGTCGCCATGAAATTTATCATGTCCAAACATGTGCTTGCTTCTGCTAGGTATAAATATTGCCATGCCCACTCGTATGAACACTGGAATGTCTATACTTCAGCGGAACTTGCTCCGTCACAGCTACAGCATCTTTGTTCATCAACAACCAAAGATCGAACGTTCGATATCGCAGTCGTATGCGCGTTTGCCTTGTCAAAGCACTACTTGCCCCGTCATGGCGAGTCAGGGAAAAAGACCAGGTGAGTATCATATTGCCCTTTACATGCTACGTCTTGATCTCTATATGTTATTAGTTGTAATGAGGAACTAACGACTACAGCTGACGACCCATTGCAATCAACAACGCAGAACCTAATTCCTCCATCAGCGAAACGGCGTGTAGAACGAAGCGTAGCCGGATACGAAGAGTTCATTAAGAATGACAGCGAAGACTCCTATCGTCATGACCCAGCAGGGGACGCGCCCCCCGAACTACCCATCTACCATAGCGAGTTTCTAAGAGCCGCGAGTGCTTGCTTGAAAATGCTACCTGACTTCCTTGTCGCGGCAAAGGCGGACAAAAACCCACAATTGACCACAGTACTGAAGCCTGAAATTATCCGCATGCTTGAGACTTTTAAGAGCATGCCGGAGTCTGTAGCGGTTGTTGGTAGAATTGGGCAGGGAAATCGAAATTGATAGACGCTCTTTTGGGAATCGGTCAAATCGCGAACTCAGTAAGCAAATCTTCATCGAAGCAGTGCATTATTAATCGCTATAGGGTGCAACTGGCGTCGCTGGAACTCGCGTTCCGATCGTTTACTCACCACGTCCGGCCGACTCACAAATACCTTACCAAGCAAAGATTGAAGCGATCGACCCGAGGGAATGTCTAGGTTCTGTGCGCCAGCACCTCTGCAACATCATAGCGGGATTTGAGGAACATGGAGCATCATCCCCATGGGCCAACGATCAAGCATCGGACAGCATGAAAGTGCTCACGGGTCTATTCCGTAGCCGTTCAGAGTTTACATCAGAAGACGCCATCCGTACTTTCCTGGGGTACACAACTGGTACGTCCAAACTACAGTCGCTTGAAAAACAAAGAAATGCTCTCAGAGCTTGCATCGAATGGGCTGAGGAGCGGCGCCTGAAGATCCCTGCCGTATCCAAAATCCATACTACCAATGTAAACGAACTTTGGCACAAGATAGCACCATTTGCGAACGACGAAATCACAACCGGTAACACTGCGCTTGATTTCAATCCCACTCTATTGGTAGGAAAGATCGAGATCTTTGGTGATTTTCGAGTTCGTTGTTCAATCGGCGACTGTCCCGGACTGGACGATATCATTCAGGACCGTAAAACGAAAGCCGAGAGATATCTGGAAGATTGTAAAGTGGTCATAGCTGTTGAGGAAATCACCCGGGCTGGTGACGATGGCTTCCTAGATTGGTTTCTCCAAGATCGCTGCAAGAACAGGCCCGATCAACGTATCATCGTTGTCCTGAGCAAAGGAGATACCGGTCTCAATTCTGCAGATCGTACGAAAACGTCATTCGAAGAACATGAGATAGCAGATCTCGATTGGTTAGCCAGACGAAAAGAGATAGTTGGAAGAGCGAAAGGCAATTACGAGCGGACACATTTCGAAGAGAGGAAGCGCTATGCTTGCGAGATCGCATATATCGATCTTGAAGAGAGAGAAATTCGCGCTCGAGAGCGCAGCCGACACATCGAAGATCGGCTGAGGTCCCGATACGCAGGAATATCCGACAACTTCATCGTCAGAACGACTTCCGCCAACGACTATATAAGGCATGTCCAAGGTTATAACCGATACACAGCCAATGATCTTCCGCCATCTGTCCAGTCGACACAAATTCCAAGTCTGATCAAAGACCTCGCTGACGTAGCAAACGACCGGGCTAAGGACCATCTCATGCGCCTTTGTGGACAAATGCTGCCCGAGCTATTTAGCTTGGTCGAGCTCGTTCGCAGCACCATTGTCAGACGTTATACTACTATTAGATACGGAGTGCACGAGATAGTAGAGCAATAGTATATTATCTAGTGTAGGTAGACAAATTAATGCCCTCTAGGACTAGATTTAGTAGTTCTACTTATACTCGCACTAATAACAGTCACGTAAGGTATTAGACCTTACATTAGCCTATGTTCCTAACAACTATATCTATTACGTTACGAGCAAGACCTAATTCTAAGTTTTATAAATACAATAAGATGTTTAGAGCGCTGCTTAAGGCTATTAAATAAGGTTATCAAGGGTAATATAAGAGGGATCAAGGCATCTTACGAAAAAAAATTAGCACCTCCGAGCAACAGAAGCATGCGGTGACGCTGATGCGTGCCCATCTAGAGCGTCGTGTCGCTGCGGGAGAGGAGCAGTGGAGAGGTCCAATTCTAGCTTCTCTTGTAGAGTGCGGACTATATCCGCCCTCAGAGATCATAGAATCTTAGTACCACTTAGCGAATATCTCTAGACTAAGTATACTTTATGAACCTTGCGCATGCGTGCTTACCTCTACGTGTATCTTACTAGGATAGGGCTATAGACCTACGGAAATATATCGCAGTACTGTCGCAGTTCTTCAGAGTCATTCTAGAATGCCTTTGGAATGTGGGTGGTTACTGAAGTACTCTTCAGCAGTACCGTAGTCGCAGTTGGCCAGTGTACTGGTAATGTATCTCGATGACCCACCTACTGCTTCCGTTGTTGATACCACAATGACATTTCCGAACATGCGCCGTTGGCTGCTACCCAAGCGCCTCAAGGACTCTTCGCGCTTTATGGTAAGTGAGAACGTTCCTTTCACATGTATTCCAAAGGCTGGGACTTCGGAGGACAAGCCTCCTCTCGTTTTGTTTGATGCACATGTGTGACGAGTCGGGTTTGGTGAATGTTGTACGTGAAATAGAGCATGCGTCCGCCTTGTGCACTAAACTCTTGAGACCGTTCATGGACATCTCCATCCATCTATAGTCGCTTCGCAGAACAAAAGATATGGCACCTATCAACCGTCTTGCAAAATGACTTGCACTTCAGATTGCGACTCTGCTTCGTCGTGAGCAGCAGCTTCAACAGCATGACTAGCGCAATCACTCACCTCCAAGTAGATCAGCCAGGACCATGCCCTCATCGTCTGCCATCAACTTTGCATCTGTGCGCAACATTAACATCCACAACGGACACATCTATGCAAGCACACATCGGCCATGAAAACATACTTTTGAAGATCAACTGGTACGACTCGCCCTCCTTCTTAGCTGTCACGAGCTGTACCAGCTTCTCATTCTCTGCATTTGCTTTATACCAGGACACCCGTTTTGGCAAATAGCTTCGGTTCTCTACTTGATTGCGTCCCATGATCCAATCTCCAGATTGTAATCGGTTATTCTTAAGGCTGAAGATAGCTGGCACGGCTCCTAGCTTTGCTTGAGAACCATCCTCAGCGTCTTTTTCGACGTTTGCAACTGGTTTGCCACCGATCTCGATAGTGAAGGTCGATGGGATAGAATCCATAGTGTTTGCCTGGAAGAACCCAAGGAGCCACAGTGCAATGAGTCCTGAGAAACACAGGAGTAGGATTCTACCTGGAGCTGCGTTTGCGACTGGCATCCAGAAGACTTGGGAGACCAGGAGCGATGTGATAGTGCGAGCGTGTCGCAGCGATGAGCGGTGATGGGCCGATGTTGACGCTTTACACCTAGGTACCTAAAACTTTGTTAATATCTCGGTCGTACTCACTGACCTATATGCAGGTTGCATGAATGCCAGCTCGTGTTCGCTGGTAGTGTGGCCGGATATGATTCCGATTCCGTGCAAGTAGATATCGCGATATGCCAACTTTGGCAGCTGGTTTCACATCATGTAGGACTAAGCCTGAGATGTGTTAGTACACCCCACAAAGCTCATGCCAAGGATATCCTCCCACGCTTGGCTCTTGCCTGTTCGGGGTCGCTAATCGTCACACCCTCAAACATCAAAGGGGACTTCTCCGATATTCCCTACGCATTGCTCACGGCACTTCAGGCATCGCTCTCTCATTACACTAGATGACGTGCTCACAATTTGTATGCCTGTTCCACCCAGGAACGCCTCGGAGGTGAATTGTCGATGGCACCACGTTATGTGCGATCTGTCTTCGCCAGTACACAGTGCGTCAACGCGTTAGTAAATCAAAAGTAGCTTCCTCTTTTCCTTGACACCAGCGTTTCTGCAACTCTGCGATAATCCACATGAAGTATCGAGGTAGAGAGATTCGTGCAGTCCATTAGATCCAGGTGAATCTTCCGATAACGGCCTCGTTCGTGCGACTGGCTGAATTCCTACACTGTACCAAGACAAGCTAATTGCTATATTTTCTTTTCGACTACTACGTCCCACCAATCGGCGATTACATGACTTACACAGCACATGACGGTACCGCCCGAACACGGTGTAAAGGTACATCTTGGGTTTCCCATATTGTCTTGGCTCTACAAGCTCCGCCAAGGTAGGTTGTCGAGTTTTGCCAAACCCGTTCTATTTCTTGTCAATTCCATATCTGGAAGGACTTTAGTTACCCCCAGCACACAATGTCTTGGGGTCTCTACTGGCACCTCATAGTGCGACCGAATACGAAGGTTCGTGTTCGTGCAAGTCAAAGCGAAGGAGATTACATGTTTTCTCTCTGTTGTATAAAGATGGAAGACGTGCCAGCCTGGAGAAGTCAGTCAGTCGCTTCTCTCTTCATCTCAACGACCTTTTCTCCAGTCGCTTCGCACAGTCCCCAACATGCACGCCAAGTCCATCCTTGCCGCTCTTGCGGTCCCGGCCATCGTCTATGGCGCGGCTATTCCCCAGGAACAGGAACTGCCCGAATTCAACTGGGATGAGAGCTCTCCAGACACTTCAGACATTGTTGGTGGCGTAGCCGCTTCCCAGGGTGATTTCCTTCCCATGGTCAGCGTTCAACTTGCTGGATTGGGTCACCTGTGTGGTGGTACTCTTCTCAACGCCAACACGGTCGTCAGTGCGGCTCACTGCTACTATGGTCGTACCACCGCTTCATTCAGCATTCGTGCTGGATCTCTTGTGAGTACCATTCTCTCTTGTAAAATGTAATCAGGCCTATACTCATTATCTCTAGAACCGTGGCTCTGGTGGAACTGTCTCCACTGTCACTTCCGTTCGCCTTCACCCCAGCTACAACGACAACACTTCGGACAACGATATCGCAATTCTGAAGCTCTCGACTCCTGTTGCAACGAGCTCTACTATTGGATACGCAACACTCGCCGCCTCAGGCTCCGACCCTGCTGCTGGCTCCACTGCGACAGTGCTCGGCTGGTAAGTAAAGCTCATCAAAAGAAGGTTGTACATTATGCTAATTTTTCTTCAGGGGTGACACAACCGATGGTGGCAGCAGCTCTACCACTCTCCGTAAGGTTTCGGTACCCATCGTCTCCCGCGCCACTTGCCGCAACAACTACTCAGTTTCTGCCGTTACTGACCGCATGTTCTGCGCTGGTGTCCCCGAAGGTGGCAAGGACTCTTGCCAGGGTGACAGCGGCGGTCCCATCATCAGCTCCAGCAAGCAACTTATTGGCATTGTATCTTGGGGCAACGGCTGTGCTTTGCCTGGTCAGCCTGGTGTGTACGCCAGGGTTGGTGCGCTCACCTCTTTTGTTACTAGCAACTTGTAAGAGTTCCTAGTCGGGATGAACGGTCCTGTTGGTTGATAGAACGCGCGTGGTACTGGTGTGAAGGTGGTGACATGGGGCGGTAATGAGTGACGAATATGATTATGATCATCTAAATGTTCTCATCACCCTATAAAAGAGAAAAATCGAGCAGGTAGAGATAGTAAACTCTACTTTGCAGCTTACATTAGCTCCTAACAAGAGAGATTATACGGATTAATAGTATTGTAGGCTTCTAGGTTCTCTATGTATGTCTATATAGCTCTAATACGCTTTGTTGTAGTAGGAAGAAGTACTCTGCTTAAATGAGATATTTGGTTTCTCTCTTTGGCGTAGTGTCATCATGATGTTGATATTCAAAGTGCTCCCATTGAACGATAAAATGTGCTAATCATCCAACAAGTTCTTCCTCTCCAAGCAGACACCAACTTTGCTGACTCACTGCTCTTTCTTCCAGTCATCATGATCCATCCATGTAATATCCTACTTATATTTCCACAGCGCAGGACTGGATTCGCAGGTCAACAAGAGCGTTCTCGTCTATCCGCCTGTCTCCTTCGTCTCTGCAAGTGATTCCGCGCGAAAGCTGATACGACCCTCCGTGTATCACTCACAAGAGTCACGGGTAACGCTTTACCTTCGCACATATCCTAGTCCGTGCTAATACAACACGGCCGTGATGTGTTTCGAGAGAACTATATGAAGCCAACCAATGGCGATTTCTGACCCGATCCGCCTCTTTTATCGTCATGTTGCTCTTTCCGGAGACAAGGAATGATATGCTGATTAGGTGACTTTCTCCTGTCGAATCCCATGATTCACCATGCGACTAAGTAAGAGAAGTCGTCCCTGATGTACTCGAACTTCTTCTGGTTCGACTCTGCCCACTCGCGCACCTTCTGAATACCCTCCAGATCCGCCCGCATATGTTCAGTCGAAGTCGACCCATTCAGCACCACAATTCCTTGATCCATGACGAGAGCGTAGAGCGCAATGGGCAATCCAACATTCGTCGCTTCGGCCAAAGCGGCAACCGGTTTTGACTTGAGAAGAACAGGATTACCGGTCAAAGTCCAGAATGACTGATACATGATGCCACTCAATCGGCAGTATTCACGCAACTCTACATCGTGGTACGTGTCAGGGTAGAAGCGATTCTGCACCACTGCTGGCTTGACCTTGGCACGCAGCCACAGATCTCGGAGGATGGGAAGAGTGACATTCGAGATACCGAGGGAACGAATCTTGTGCGGCACATAAGTCTCCAGCGACCGCCAAGCCTGCAGTGTTTGCTCGCTGGTGGGTGGTGGCGAATGAAGAAGTAAGCAGTCAATGTATGAGTCGTCTTCCGGTTTCTGGTCATGTCGCAAATTCTTGAGTGAGGATGCGACAGATGTGCGTATCTGAACGTCTAATGGCGCTTCAGGGTCGTAGGGCATATTGCTCAGATCTTGGCCAGCGGGAGTGGTGTATTTCGTCTGTAACTGTGAGACATAAACACCACACATCTTGAGAGAAAGGGGGAAGTTCAAACATATATCTCCTCTCGCTTCACGAGACCTTCCTCGAACGCCTCACGAAGCGCGTCCCCAACTAAAGGTTCTTGGTAATGCCGAGGCTGTGCAGCTGTGTCGACGCGACGAAACCCATGAGCAAGTGCTTCTTTTATTAGTCTCTTCGTCTGGCTTTTCTTCCAGGCAGTACCATAGATGAACGCGGGCTGATCATCAAACAGGCGTGATTTACGTTGACTGATCGAAGCAGAAGCCATGGTGCGTGTGGTCGATAATGAACGATTGACACAGAGCTTCGAAACAGCGCGATATGCAAGTAGAGGATACTGAAGTCTAGATGCCATGTCTCACCCTCATTGACTGAATCGTGGCGATTCACATATAAACGTCCACGTCGGGAGTGACAATGCAAGGTACCTGGACCCTGATGACTAAGCCAACGGTGACGCCTGGCATCTGTAAGCCCCACCAAGGTTCCGATCGGACCTCTATCATCCCGACCAGAAAGTGCTCGAAGTACCACGCTCAACACGACCCTTTCTCGCGATAACCGCCTTCCTCTTGCCTTCATATCCCGGATTTATCTTCCAGGAATACTACAAATTAGTCAGACAAAATGGGTCGTCCAGACGGTCCTCGCGACCCCATCGCCGGTGCCGATACACCACAGCCACCTTTCCCAATAAAGCTCCGAGGGCCAGTAGTCAAGGGCTTCGGGCGAGGAAGTAAAGAGGTACAAATCAATTAGTCGACTTGACTGTCTCTAAGAGCTGACAGTAGCAGCTAGGCATACCAACCGCCAACATTCCCCTCTCTGGCCTAAGCATAGGCGGCCACGACGAGCTAGAGTCCGGCATCTACTATGGCTGGTGCACACTCGACACATCCTCCATCGCATCCTCCACAACTTCTTCCAGCGTACCAAGTGCCACGGACGATACCTCCGTCCCTAGCAAATCCTCTTCGCATGCCGTCTTAGACCTCGAATACTCGTCCGAGACCCCCACACCATCAACCATCTACCCAACCGTACTGTCAATTGGCTACAACCCGTACTACAAGAACACACAACGCAGTATCGAGATTCACATCTTACATAACTTCAAACAAGACTTTTATGGCGCGAACCTCAGTTTGATGATACTGGGCTTCATACGGCCGGAGTACGATTACGTGAGTAAGGACGCGTTGGTGGAGGATATCAGAGAGGATATTAGGGTTGCACAAAGGAGCTTAGCAAGAGAGGGGTACGAAGCTTGGAAGAAGGACGAGTGGTTGAAGGGTGGTGAGGATACCAAGATCAATTGGAATCAAGCTGGGCAGAAAGATGGGGTGGGAATTTCGCAGATGATGAATTAGAGTAACGGAGGTTAGAGGATGCGATCGTATCCATAGACGACCGACGATCCCACGACATGCATAGCGATATCCGTATATGAATGAACATTGTTATTATACCGATGTTCTAGCCATGAGAGCATTGGTATCGCGCCTACGTTGGCAGCTTGTCTACTCCGATCACGCCCTCGATGTGCGCCATTTAACACCCAAACCAAACAACAGCAATTTCCCAAATTATACCTTTCCAAGATGCACATGTCTCGTGAGACGACCAAGGTATCCATCCATGCGTATGCGCCGGTCATGAAAACAACCCCAGAAACATAAAAGCACTTTTTATACTGCCGCTATGACGTGATCGCACATCAGTTGTGAAGATGGCGTCGTCCATATTCATGCGACGATTCGTCAAGTGAGACGACCTCGAAGACATTTACCTCTCGTGAGGCTATGTAGGTGATGCAACGTCCAGCCCAATCGCGCTTCAATTATTGCAAACCTTTGTCAAGCACAGGCATAACCTGGATCCTAATTAGCAGCTTCTCATATACAGAACGTTGGGGTTCAACTTACACTCATGCAAACAAGCACAGGCATATCAAACATGTCGCGCTTGATATGCCACCAGATCATACAATCGACCATACCATTCTTCGCCCCAAGCCTTTGCATAGCGCTCTCGCCTTCCACCTTGACGAGTGGGTCAGCCTTGACGTCAGAGCCAGCATTCGCATTCTTCATCTCTTGGATGCGATCTATGTCGGCTTTTGTCTGGTATCTCAGCATGTTGACACGCTGAGAGGCATAGCCATGAGGATCCTGATAACAAAGTTCGGAGAAGTGCTGCAGGAACTCCAGCGCGGACTTGGGATCCATAAGCTCGATGATGTTGACGCTGGGTGTGGCCGTCTCAGAGTCTTGCGCAGTAAGATTGGGTGTTGTGTTTTGAGTCGAGCCAGTGTCGCTTTCACTTGTTTCACGATTCGTCCCAGTGTTGACGTTGAGGTTTGGCTCGTGGCCGAGCAGAACTGAGTCTTTCCAGCCGGTGAGAATGGTAAACTCCTTGTTAATGCCGACAATCTCGCCTGATCGCCGACATATTAGAAATGGTGTGCCGACCTCTGCGAAGTGATCCTGCAATGTCATGACTTGGCGTTGCAGTCCCATTTCTTGATGGATCAAGTCGTCCCTATTCAACTCTTCTCTCACTTGCAACAGCACAGGTCGGTAGTTCTGTAGATACTGTTGGGCTTTGGCAACCCATGGTCTTGAATAGTTCTTGTCAATCAGCTGGTAAAGCCTGTGGTAGCCCTTGACGTAGTCATATGGCTTGGTAACTCCTTGGTAGATGGCCTTGGTATCTCGTTGACGTTTGCGGATACCATTTGAGTTCATCGGTTGAATTGCTGTCGTTGAGGGTCTGTGTTCGCGCTGCGATCGGTTGACGGCTGGAGAGTGTTGCGCGTGAGGTCGATTGGTGTTGGCGAAGAAAGCTGCAGTTGCCAATGGGTTGTCGCCCTCGAATGTGGATGCATCCGTGGAAGCTGGGCTTGCTGTAGAGCCCGGCCCTTGGCCAATGACGAATGCATGTGGACCACTGAGACTGTCGTTACGAAGACTGTGGTGGTCATGCCCGGCTGAAGTGTTTGGCGTGTGCACATGCATACTGCCTTGCCGCGAATGCGAGTCTTGCCACTCGCCCGCTGGAAGCCCGTTGGGGTTGTATGCCATTGCGGTTGCGGCATTGTTCTGGTCCGCATAAGTGGAGGGCATTTGCTGATTGTACATGTTCACAGCGCCATTCATATTATTCATCATCCCGTTATCGTGGGGTGTGTCCACTGCGCCTGACGACATATGGCCAAGCATGCCAAACTCGAGCGCTCCGTAGTGGTTGCCAAAGTTCAGACTTGAAATATCAAAATTGAACAATGCAGGGTCACTTGGGTCGAACAAAGGTCCGAATTGCTGCAACTGGCTCTGTTGGCCTTGGGGCATAGTGCTCGGTGCATTTTGCACTGGCCCGTGGTGCGGTTGGTTGAACGGGGGTGAGATTGGCGACTGCTGATTGTTGAAGGCGTGGCCATCTTGCGCAACAGGCAGTTGCCCTGGTATCGAGTTGGGTGGATAAAACGCTGCTGGTTGCGTTTGGTTGTACATGTTGCTCTGTGGGGATACGGAGACTGTTTGGGTTTCGTGGCTCGGGATCGGTGTTGGGCGGTTGCCGTTCATGTATGGATAGTGACCGCCTACACCTGGCATGAGAGCTCCATCTGGCGCGTCGTGTAGATACTTTGCCTTTTTGCGCACGCCGTCCATGCAGTGATCTTGGAGGCCGCGCTTGATGCAGCGATTGCATGGTCTTTCATCACCTAAAACATGTTAGTTTTTCCACTGAGTTGACTCGTATATTTGCACTCACCACACGTCAGATGAGCTCTTTGGCAGGCGAAACATGCCCTCCGCGCCTTTTTCCTCCGTGGCCTTAGAGGATCCTTTGCATTGGGCTTTCCGTTGGTAGGCTTCTGGGTGGAGTCACCATTGCCAGATTGGTGGTCTGCGGACTGTTCAGCAGCCATGTCGTCGTCCAAATCGCTCCTGTACTCGGGCGAAGGAGAGGCATCTTGGGCGTCTGGGGTGGTCATGATATCCCCTCTACTCAGCGCAGGCACTCGGCCAAGCACGGACGTTCGCTGCTGTGAACTGAGGCGCTGGGATTTGACGCTTAGTGCTGCGTGTAGCCGTCAGTGGTGATCTAGGGGTGTTCCCGGCAGAATGGTTCAGCCAATGTGTCTGGGGTGCACGGCTGGAAGCGTTCCAGCTGTGTGTTTTAAGGTGCGATCACGCGTGTGCTGGCTGCTTGAACGAGCGCTGCGGTGGCACTCTGACAAGTCCAATGACGAGCTCTGCAGGGGGGAGAGACAGTGAAGGACTCTCAATCCGGCGGACAGGTATGGGACAGTGCTGTTGTGGTACGGGGCCGGGGTCCATGTAATCGAGGGAGCATTCCAGGAGCACACAGAACCATGTTTGATAGCGAGATGCTACCGCGACGCGCTGCCCATGCTGCTGGGAGTCGGCTGTGGTTCTACAAGCGGTGCCGGGCTTCGTATCGTGAGCCCACAGAAGGTGAGAGCAGCAGCGTGGCAGTGACGGGCGGGGCGTCGCCTGGAGGTCAGCGCAGTGGTACGACGCTTGAGAAGTCACGGTCGGCGCTGGGGCAGGTGCGATGGGTGATGATGATCGTCTGGGGAGGCAGGAAGCAAGTCGCGACGGAGCGCGCGGTCGAAGCGATGGAGGCGCTGCTAGGTTTGACGAGCTTCCAGGGCACTTGCAGCGCTGTGTGCAGTTGGGAGTGGGCTCGAGGCGTCGGGCGCGGGTCGTGTGTGGTAGATTGGGGCTCTCGCTGCAAGATGCGCGCAGATGCGATTCCCCGCAATTGGCTGTTCGAGGTTTGCTGGAAGTTGCAGCCCACGCAGCTGCCTCGGTCCCTGTCGACCGGTAAGCCGCTGGCTTGGCCTCGCGCTAGCCTGTAGTCACGCACTTCTGCTTCACTATTTGGACATCACTAGCCGCAATAGCCCACTTCAGCCACTTCAGGCCTCTTCGCCTCTCGTCTGCCACCGGATCGTCGCCAATACGCGGTGGGTCTTGTATATCATTGCAGATTGAGTGCTCTACTGCAGAGAACCCTGCCCAGTCACTCGCAATTCCCACCTCAACATCTCATGCCACACAGCGCATACCCAAAAAGCAAGCAGCCGGCATGCCCAAAGTGCATCAGGCTCGGCTATGGGGCATGCATGCAGTATGGGATACGAGCCCTTGGCGCCAAATATGAACGGTTCCTCGTCAGCCTATTGGCGCGCTCGTACTACCAACTATCATCACTCCTTCCCGCTCGTCTACGCTTCGCGAGCTTTGTGTACCCTCAATGTCTCCTTCACCGTGTCTCTGCCCTGCCGACCACGTTTTCTCACACGCTGGTGCACCGCCCTCGGCAACGGTACCATCCGCAACCGCTTTCGGCTTTTGTGTATCCGTTGTCCCTCGAGCTGGCGTGGCCGCCCTCGTGGCGCTCATGTTCCGTTGCACAGAGGCCCGGCCAGCTTGCTTCATGTGGTCTCACGTGTGGGCGCAAAATCCTTGATTCAATGAAAATCTTTGACATGCAAATGCCGTGTCACTCTCTATTATTAGTCCGCTTCCAGTCAAGTCTGCCACATGCCCTCGCCTCGCTTCCGTGTCGACTATGCTGATGCATATCGACTGCCTCCCCTGAGTCGCTTGCCATATCGAAAGAACAAGATTGGAAATCTGCAATAAGACATATCAGTGAGTCCCACAACCCTCGTTCTGGGTTACTTACGGAGCCATTGCAAGCGCCAGGAAGGCAAGCAGAGTAGTTGCCCACTGGTAGCCGAGATCTGTTCGAAATCAGTGACCGCTCTTTCATCAAGGCGCATCGTCCTCGAGACTTACTATTGTACATCTGAACACCAAATAGTCTATGACACTAATTAGCAATTAAGTCTGACCCAACGGTGATACTAACTTACGGGAATGCCGCAGCAAAGTACGACCGCGCGAAGCTGTTGGCCGCAAGAGCCGATGCAGCGTAGACAGGGTACTGTTCGGCGAGGTCACTATCTCTGTACCCAAAAGTCTGGTCCGATGTCGGTGCGTGGTACTTACGGCTTCGACCAAGAATGTGAAGACCCCTGAATAAACCCAGATGACACTACGTCACGCAATGCAGTCAGTGAGCTGCTCTCATTGATCGTACTCGGTGTCTTAGAAGAAGAAAACATACCCAAGGCCAAATACTGCCGAGAAGATTATTGGAACTGCGGTGTCATGGTCAGTTATTATTGCGAGTCTACGATATGCAGGATGTTGTCATACCTATCCAATGAACCTGCAGAAGCCGGGGTGTTAGCATAGAAGCTTCCATACCAAAAGCACTCTGAACTTACTGATGAGTACGTTGTCCACCCAAACCCTGCATACGCATGATTAGAAGCTTGTTCCATTCGAGGCCGTGCAGAAGCTTACCAAAGAGAGCGACAGGGACGACCCAGGCCCCAAGAATAGTTGAAGGAAGTCGAAATTCAGGTTCCGAACCTCCAGGCTCGCCCCCTTGTTCCTCACGTTGGCGCACGAGCCTGCCGTATATCCTTCTCCAGATAGGGTCCGTGGAGATACCCGCTAGCATGCCTACCAACAGGCCCAGGAATGCAAGCCCAGTTTGCGATATGCTAAAGCCGTGATTGTTTTGGAACACGAGGGGAAAAGCGCCAAAAAAGAGGTACAAGATACCTAATAGAATAGCAGACAGTATGCAGAGGCTCAAGCACTAGAATTCAGCCGTCAGTACGCCAATCAAGACCTCATCAAGTGCGGAGACCCACCATAGGCTCAAAGAACAGCAGTTGAAACGGGCGAATGCATGACCACAACACGGTTTTGGCAATAGAGCGGTCCATCTTCTCAATCGGCGCTATCCACTCTGGGTTGCCGGTCTCTTCTCGTAGTCGAATCGCCTTCCGACGGAGCAGAACGGGGTGGTACGTTTCAGGCACGAACATAACGATCAGGCAAAGCTACCAGGCTAACGTTAGTCTTTGGTACACATGGTGTGCAGCACAACCTTACCTGAACTCCAGACCAGATGATGAGCACATAGAAACACCTGTTTTCATGTCAACACACCGCCAGTTGCTTCCGCGAGGCCTAATCTAGGTGTTCTTGATACGAACATCTAGGCAGATACTGCCAGCTTGAGCAACGCCACTGGATCTGCAGATGCAATGTCGCAGGGTGAGAAAGGTGGGTCTTGAATAAGCACTTACCATCTCCACGTAGTGTTCTCAACGATGAAGCCTCCTATTAGGGGGCCGACTTCTGGACCGACAAATGGGCTAGCTGTGTAAACCATCATAGGCGCAGATAGCTCCTACACTGCCGTCAGAAATAGAAAAATTGCGAGCACAGTATTAACTGACGTGTTTTCCAAACATATCACCGACAGTGCCTCCAGCTACACTGAGGAAGGCTGAGCCGGCTAGTCCATCTAGAAAGCGCGCAACCAACATTGTCTGGATGTTCTGTGCCACAGCGCATGGTATCATCCAGATCAGGAAGAACGTAAACGAGCAGATATAGATAGGTCTTCGACCATAGAACTACGATTGGTTAGTTAATCACAGGGATATTGGAGTGCCGTAGTCCCCGGCAGCTGTACGCACCTCCGAGAGGGGACTGAGGATCATCGGTCCTGCGCCTAACCCTGCGACGAACATGGACAAGCCAAGCGTACACACTAAGCGGGAGGCCCCAAACTCTGGCTCCAGCTGACTATAGGTTGACGTGTATAGTGATGAAGTGCATGTCCTACATTTGGTGATTATTAGTTTGTGCTTGTGCAATGACTGAGAAACCAATATCATGACGTACACGCAAAGAGAACTGCTGGCGCATATCAATACGATGAGCCATCTTCGTAGTTTGCCCATGCTTCTCGGGTTCTCTGGATCTGCGTCACCATCCCAAGTCACTAGATACGGCTGCTCCGTGACAGCTCCAGTTCTGGATTTGCTCGGTCCTTGGGTATTGCCTTCAGCATCGAGGCATGTGTAGCCGTCTCCTCCAGCTCGTGAGTGATGCGATCTGATCGTCTTCAGGCTCCTTCCATCTTGCGAGCGTCGACTTTGGCTGCGGCCTCTTTCAGCATCTCCGTCTTTCGTTGATCGCGTAGCTCCATCAAGTCCAACCACTTTCTCCTCGTCGATGTCGGCAGCAGATTCTCTTCTTTTCTCATAGTCACTTGACGCGCTGTCTTCGTGTTGTTCCTGTGCTGAGCCAAGGCTCATCCTTTCTTTTGGCTCCATTTGTTCCGATCTCGCCATCGTTCTTTGATGGATGAAACGATGTGCAAAGTTCGATGAGTACCAAACGACACTCACTAACAACGCGCCAATCTCTTAGAGCCCGTTCCACCCTGGGAATGGCCGTTGACGCTCGGATTTAACTCGCTAAGATGCCTGTAGAACCCCTTGATGACGAACCCTGGTCAGGCGAAGCGGCGCATGTCCAACATGGGAAGGAATTTAGATGGAAGAGACAAGATGCGAAAGACATCGCGCTTCGATCAAGCTTCCAGACCGCGCCGCGGCAATCGGCTCAAAGGCTCTGGAGCGGCATATGGGTAAAGTGGGGTGACGTCTTGCTGCCATAACGGCGCCGCTTCGTGACTCTGGGGTGTGTAGGTGCGTCATCCGGCTATAAGATCGGTTACCGTTCTGGCATAGACATTTCGCCACATCTGCAGGAAACGAGGCTGAGATTTGGCAACGATCTCAATGCTTCAAACATGCCTTGTTGAAAGGCATTCATCGTTTCTCATCTTCTCTTCGGGGCTTCTTCTTGACTGCGCGCTCCGTCTCTTCCTCCTTCAATTGCCGCGATCGGCGCAAAACCTGCCGTTCACGAAGACTAGCGGGCCGCATTTAGCAAAACCATCCGTTCGGAAAAGCTTTTGCCCTGCGTGCTGATAAAGAACCCCTTCTGCCCTATGCTCCTCGACCCACATTGTTATATGATAACAGGTGCCTTGGCGTGGTGCTGTGAAAAGGTATTGTGTGAACTTGTGCAACCAGTGATCCAAGGTCTTCCAGGCGCACCTGCTCCATCACCATCTCCGAGCTTTGAGACCAGGCGCCTCGATTTTGATTCGACAATATTGCCCGCGATGTACGAAGTATGCTGACCCTGTGCGATATCGTATATTTAGGATATTTCCGATGCCGTTGGACAGCTCGCATCTCCAACTATAGACGTTTGACGTTTTCGGCTCTTGCCCGCCGCCATCAATAACGGCACCACGTGGGAAATGCACTAGGCGGTTTAACAAGCTTCGATAAGGAAAAAGGAATGAAGTAGCCCTCCTTCCAGACGTTTCTAGTAGCGCCTCGAGCACGCAAACAAAACGCTAAAACGCCTTAACTAAGATAGTGGACGCATGTCTCTCTTCATCAGTCGGGCACAGCGATATTGGGCGGAAGGCGTTACACACTCGATGACCCCAGAATGAACGATAGGTGTGCCGCGTTCTATCCTGATTTAATAATGTTGACTACGCGACTACCTGTCATGCAATTTGAGAGACGCTTACATCACAAGGTTCATGCACTCTAGTCATCTTCGCAGCGATACCATCTTCAGGTTTCATGCTGCGTGTACAAGGATATGCTACTGCGACTGGAGATCTCCTAGGAATGGTTCGCTGTCAGAGTGAGGTTCAATATATGCAGTAGTGTTATGGAACACATGTCTTCGAGAAGTACCTCCTTAGTTCGAAAGTGCGCGCATGGCTACCAAGATGTCCAGCATATCACCCTTCCTTCTACGCTAAAGTTCTGTGAGATGTTGTTGACTTGGCCAGATGGTGACGAAGTGCTTGTCCAGATGATGCGGTGAACTTCATCGTTACCTCATGCTTCCTACCTACCTAGGTACCCTGGTCAGTCTGGAAGAATCGGAGTTAGCAGTAGAGACTACCTGATGATAGAACAATTACACGTATTGTAGATTTTATGATTATTCCAGGAAGATCTCATCTAACGTTCGCGAGGAACGAAGATTGGTCACAGAACGGAACTCTAGTTGCGAAAACCTAGTTTTGTCGCGCCACACGCAGCCCATTACGAACACGACCGACATCCTTCGCCCGCTTAGCACCACTTCCTGTGGTCGTACCAACATAAAAGTCGCACTGAAGAGTATAAATTCTTCGTGTCCTTTCATCCCTTCTTTTTCTCTATCCCTGATGTGTTTTCCTATTTCGGAGTCCATGGTTGAAAGGCCATTCAAAAGAAGAATTTCTCGGATCCCAGGTAATTCTTGAGTTTCCTCTACTCATTCCCGCCAGCGAAAGCTACCAGCTTACATACTCGAAACCCCTTTCTGTCGAAAGCGTAGTTCTGGGTAGTTTGCAGATAGCTCGCTCCTAGGGTCGATCGGAGGCGGTGATGATAATGGCAGACGGACAAACTCTCCTCTGGGAGTTTACAGTTCCAGTACCGAATATCTGAGCCTCAAAAAGATCTTTCTAATTCATACAAGGGAGTTGGTGAGGAGAATCATGGACAGGCGCCACGCCTCTCCTATTGCAAGTGCAGTGCTGGAGATCGTGAACGCGCTCGCCGCATCCATGGCTGTCTAAATGGTGGCAGTATGTGGGTAATCGGCAGAGACAACTTTTAGATTAGATATTCCAATATTTATCATTCTCGTCCAAAGATCTGCTTTGTGGAAGTGAAGTTTGCATCGTGCTATGTGGTGTTGTTGGTCGTTGAATCGGACGTTGCCTGCACCGACACGGCAATGAGTTCCTGAATCGCCCGGTCCTGAACTCCGTTAACTTCCGGGCCTGCGGTGCTAAATACACTCGGCACTCTAACTCACCAAACCTTACTCAAGTCCCAAGAATGTTCAGCAGCGCATGATAGCTTGGTAAATGTTGATGCCTACAAAAAGGCCCGAGTATAGGAGCGAAAGAGTGTTCTGGCGCCGACGCCTACGACAATTCCATGTTTATTCGCCATGTATAAAGAAGGGAGCTGCTCCGTGAAGATGTAGTATCAAATCACAATATCTTATATTCTTCATAGCCACAGATCTCGTCGAGCACCCAGAACACCCTACGAAAATGTCAGACTCAACCAAATACACTTCCAAGCTCCTGAACCGGCGAGTACTTGTAATCGGCGGGTCTTCAGGCATTGGTTTCTGCGTCGCAGAGGCATCCTTGGAACATGGCGCAATAGTCACAATATCCTCTTCCAACGAGGACCGCATCAACCAGGCAGTCGAGAAGCTACAACGCAGTTATCCTTCAGCTAAAAACAAGGTGTTTGGTGTTCGAGTTGATCTCTCGAACCCAGATACACTCGAGACAGAGCTGAACACAATGTTGGAAAGCACAAAAGAGAAGTTAGAAGGACAGCAGTTGGACCATGTGGTCTTTACAGCCGGCAACATGGCACCTACGATCAAGCTAGAAGACATGGTAAGATTGCATTCCATATGAAAGAACTTAGGCCGATCGAGATGGACTAAATTTGAATAGACCATGCAAAACATTTTCCAAGCAGGTCAAGTCCGTTTCTTTGCTCCTCTTCTCCTGGCAAAATTCCTTCCTACCTATATTAAGCGCTCGTATACATCTTCCTACACTATCACTACGGGCACTACGTCAGAAAAACCTGTGCCTAACTGGAGTGTCGTGGGATCTTACGCTGGCGGCCATCATAGCATGGTTCGCAACCTGGCATTGGATCTTCGGCCTATCAGGGTCAACGGTGTCAGCCCAGGGGCCGTAGACACCGAGCTATGGGCAATGTCTGCGAGCGAAAAGAAAGCAGCCATGGATGCAGTAGCGGAGAAGATGACAACGGGTCGGCCTGGGCAGCCAGGGGATGTCGCGGAGTCGTATTTGGCCATTATGAAAGATGTGAATATGGACGGTAGCGTGGTCAGAACGGATGGTGGATACATGCTCACGTAGCAGACACTTCCAGAACCATAACCATGTTCGCCAATGAGCATCCTGCCAATATTATTGTACATTACCAAGTAGAGCTCTCACTCTGTGTCAACCAAACTAAGCCATCGGCTCCCAATAATGGCTATCCAAACGCTCATCTCGCCCGCACGCCTCATAACCGTACGTCATGATCCTGTTGAACGCCCCGCGGAGCTGGAAGCAATGTCTGCAAAGTGAGTTCCTTTTCCATTCCTCGCCGTGGATGTTCTTGTAGATGGAGATGTCGTGCGTCCACTCGTTACTTGTGTCGAAAAGGTGCAGTGGCCGGAGGAAGCTTGGCGTCTCGGGTGGTTCGGGAGTGGCGGAGGAAAAGCGGCGCGCTGTGTGTCTGGCCGGAGTCGTGGGCCGAGCAGGTGGTTTAGGGGCAGGCCCTTCTGGCGAGGCGATATCAGGCCGGAAAGAGGATAGTTCGGGGAGCTGCTGTGAGGAAGAGTTGGACTTTTGTGGTCGCACGGGTGCTCTCTCAATGAAAGCGACATTTCGTATCACACGCCTGTTGTTACCAGAGAAGCTTTGGTTTGCCAAGGGGTCTTGTGTTTCGTCTCCAGTGATATTTTGACAACACGTCTCGGGCATGGTCATGATGCGCATTCGTTTCGATAGCGGTCGAGGTTCAGTCGCGCTTTGCGCCAGAGCCATGTCCCATGCTGAGGTTGAGGGACGCGCACGCATGGTATCCGGGTGAGACGAGGTCGAAGCTGAGGTTGGAGGTGTTGTGTCACTTGAAGGTGCAGTCAATCCTGAGGTTGGGGGCTCGTCGGGAGAGGGTGTGGAGGAGATGTCGGAATCGCAGAACATCAATGGTGATTTTAGTGGTGCAGTACCTTCTTCGTCAGCAACTGGACGTGTGATGAACCTCGATGATGGGATCTGCAGGCGCTTCAGCGACGGTCGTTGGCGTGGTGTTGTATCGGTCCCATCGTGAGAGGCTCCAAGAGTTGTGTCGACATTGTCAGGTGTGGCGGCGCCTCCTTGACTTGCATCTGACCTAGTCAACTCAGCATTGAAGCCGTTGTCCCGATTGTATTCAGCTCCTGTTACCTTATCTCGTCAAGGAGATGGCGTAGGAAAGATGCGGAACGTATAGTATTGACGGAAGACTTGTAGCTAGGACCTCGCTTGGGAGTGGTCATATTGCGTTATAATGCTCAGATATGAATCGGTAAGCAATGCAAGTTCACGACACTGGTAATGCTGGCGGTGACACAATATGACTGAGACTGGGCTGGAGGAGGTGAGTAGGAAGGTTAGTAGAATCGTTCAGGTATTCGATTGGACGTCGCACGCAGGGAAGGCGTTGAGGTCGGGCTAGAATCGAGGCAGCAGCAGGTCCTGTTACAGGCAGCTGCCATGATGGCTTTGGATGATTGGCACGTGGCAGAAGGAAACGAGAGCGAAACTCGGAAGTCTACACAAAAGCAGGTCGTGACAGGGTGAGATTAGCTACGAGATGTCACATAGCTCTCACCTGATATGGTATACTACAAGCCTCGTGTATCATGCAGAGACGTTTCCGTTGCGCCTGTTCATATCGTGCATTGGTCGTGTATCTCATGTCTCGGACATCTCTGTATCCTCAGCCTTGGCAAGGCCGTGCTCCTTCAGCAGAGCATCAATCTCGTCCGCACTCCACAGGTGATGGTAGATCTTGCCTGACTTGGTCTTTCCTACAGTCGCAAACTCGACTACGAGTAGTTAGCACTGGCCTAGTTTGTTGTACGTAGTCGTGGACATACTCTTCTCGCTGCTCAGCTTAGTTGAGTCCATGGTCTTGCTGAGCACCTTGACTGCAAGTCCGCAAGCCTCTTTCAAATCGCATTCCTCCTTGTAGTCCTGCTTCAGCAGACTCTGTGCAGAAGCGTTGTTCGCGCCGACACTGGTTGCCTTCCAGCCACCGTAGTTGCCACTGGGGTTACTCTGGTACAGCTGGAACTGTCGCTGTGGGTCCCATCCTGCGTAGATGAAGGATACACCGAACGGTCGGAGACCTCCGTGCTGCGTGTAACCTTGCTTGAGATCGCATAAACGGCGGACGAGCTGCTCGCAGGGAATGTCTTCGTTGTAGGTGAGGAGGTACTTTTGGGCGGCTTGACGGGCGTAGTTGATGAGAATGTTGGCATCAGCGGTCATTCCTGCTACGGCGCAGATCATGTTACTGCAAGGCATCAGCCATTTCGTTCGGGACATGTGTCAGGTCCAACCCACTCGTTCAAGATGTACAGTTTCTCGGCCGATGTGTCTTGCTCGAGCAACTTGCTGGTAACCTTCCTCTCTGCGGCGAGAACGATGCCATCCTGTGCCAAGATACCCAGTGCTGTTCCGGCGTGCGAGATGGCTTCGAGGGCGTATTCGACTTGGTATAGGCGACCCTCTGGAGAGAAGATGGTCGTCTAAGCACTATTAGCTGGGGTGTTGGCCGTATTTGTTGTATTTCGTACCCTGGAATCGTATCTCCGTGACATGATTGCGGTCTACTCTGGTCGTCTGAGTTATACTGGGGGTGTAGACAGCTGCAAGAGAGAATGGGAGATCGGCGGGGAAGTCGGGGCGTGGGCTGGTGTTGATGGAAGCTCCAGGCACAAGCTCATACGCAGCGCGTCGGCGATTCAGGTTGCTTGGCGCCGACCAGTTTTTGGATTGCGCGCTGCAACACCAACTTTGCCCATCACCAACTCTTCTTGCAAAGGTTGTACGGCTTCAATCTTCGACTGAAGCTTGACATCATCATGTCTGACATACCAGTGCGACCGCCTGCACCTGCGCCAGCACTCCCTGTAGGCTGGACTGAGCACAAGGCGCCCTCAGGTAGCTATGGACAGCTCCGACTTGCGTCATATGCTCCCGCTAACATTCCACAGGTCACTCATACTACTACAATGCCGAGACGGGAAAGTCAACATATACGCGACCAGTTGCAGAAATCCCACAATACCACAACCCCACGCCGCCTGCTGCACCTGCTTCCTACAACGCGCCGCAAAGTTACAATCTCGGCCACGACAGCCAACCAGCGCAAGTCGCCTTTCAGCCTCAACCCTCAATCAACGACTTCATCTTCGCGAGCGCACCGAAACAATTCCCAAAGCATGGCGGCGCGCATCAACAATCACGAGGTGGGCACAGGGGAGGAATGCGCGGCGGGCATAATAATTTCAACGACCGAAGAAGAGAACGGGACGATAGGCCAAAGCATCGCCAAGACATCCCGAACTGCGCGCCCTGGGTGCTGGTGAAGACAAAGTTTGGACGGCGGTTTGTGTGGAACAAGGACACGAACGAAAGTTTCTGGAAGTTCCCGCCCAATGTCATGACAGCCGTCATCGAGTTCGACCGGAAGGAGCGAGAGAAGAAGGAACGCAGGGAACGGGGTGAGCCAAGCGATGTGGAAGAGGATGACGCCATGGCCGAGATTGAGGCGGAGCTGGCGGAAGCGGAAGAGGAGGTGGAGATTGTGGAAGTGGACGGTGAGGAAGGCATGGAAAATGACGAGGAGTACGAAGAAGTGGAAGTTACAGACGATGAGGGCGAGGCGTCAGGCCACGCGCAAAAGCGGCAGCGCACCGAAGAGCCATCTGGAGGCCAACCACCTGAGGAAGATGACGATCTTGCATGGCAACTGGCACAAATGGAGGAGATGGAAATGGACCAAGGTTATGACGAACAGTACGATGACGAGGAGCCTGCCTTATCTGAAGAAGATTGCAAGGCGCTTTTCAAGGAGCTGCTGGATGACACCAAGGTCAGCCCATTCGCGCCTTGGGATAAGATTTTGGAAGACGGTGTTTTATTCGACGATGAGCGGTACAAGGCTTTACCAAACATGGCAGCGCGAAAAGAATGTTTCAACGAGTGGTCGCGCGACAAAGCTCAGTTCCTCAAGGAAGAGAAAGCTCGACAGGCGAAACGCGACCCGCGGATACCGTACTTGGCCTTCCTCGACCGACATGCAACACCGAAGCTGTACTGGCCTGAGTTCCGCCGAAAATACAAGAAAGAGCCTGAGATGAAGGATACCAAGCTCCCAGACAAAGACAAGGAAAAGCTGTATCGCGACCATATCAAGCGGCTAGCCATGCGGTCATCCGATCTGAAATCCGATCTTTCGGCACTTCTACGAGCCCAACCTCTCGCCCTGCTCAATCGTTCCACGACTATTGATACCCTGCCCTCCGCCGTGCTCAGCGACCTCGCCTATATCTCTCTCCCGCCATCAACACGGGATGGTCTTATCAACACATACATCTCCACTCTGCCACCTGCGCCTGAGGGTGTTGTCTACTCCGCCGAAGAAGAGGCCGAGCGTGCGAAGAAGTGGGCGGAGCGCGAACGAAGGGAGAAGGCACTTGCGGACCGCGAGAGGCGTGTGCGCGAGGAGAAGAGAAAGCAAGAGCGCGATCTAGCCTACGGAAAGGGCAGGCTACGTGAGGAAGAAGCAGAAATTGAGAGAGCGATGAATGTTGGCAAAGAGGGTTTGAAAGGTCATTTGAAGGAGTAGTATACCCATGCAATCAATACATATGTCGAAGTCCAGCTCGATGTGTTACTACTGAAGTTTGACGTAATGACTTGCAATACTCGTGATTCTGGTAGTTAGGGTCTGTACTTACAGTACCACTGGTACGCGTTGAGCACCTCGTTGTCATATGTCCGCTTACCAGTATCTCCACACTCTCAACCACAACCTGCTCCCCACGAACCCTATAAAGACCTCTCCCCAATCCACAGTCTCTCTTCATCTCCCCTTTACTCTTTCCATCACCCCAGGCCTGCATACGACTCGTGAGAGACGTATGCTAATAAATAGAACCTTCCTACCCCTTGTCCTTCTTTCACAGGTGTGATTGATGTAGATGCGACATGACCAACAGGGGTGATTTCCCTGGTTTAGTCGTATCTACTGCTTGAGATCCAGTATCGATGCGACGGAACCCGTGCAGTTCTTTACTGTTCTCTGCAAATTGATTCCGTCATAGATACTGCTCGAAAAGGAAAACAAGAAAGTATTCTTCACTGAATGCTTTCTGGCCTGGGTGTGAGCGCGGCGGTGATGAATAAAGGACAATGAACGCCCATCCTAGCAGAAATAGGAAAATGGGCATAGGGTGTTTCACCTCTTGTTCTAAATATCGTTTCGAGCCCGAGTTGTATTGGGGATTGTATTGTTCTGGTGAACGTGTTGGTGCCAGAATTTAGGCAAGACACTGTTATAAAATACTAGATATCCAGTTGACGATGGTATGGATACAGCAGATTTCTCTCATATAATTCTCAGCTGCTTTATGTAGCTGTGCTCTTCATTTAAATATGGTACCTGGAGAGAAACACGTATGTTGGAAACACGCATGCGATAGATCCTTTCATTGTCAAAAGTAGTAGTTTGTATCAATCAGAAAGTTATGAGCCCGCATTTGCGTCCTTCGTTCCTTCGACCAAATCTGGATGGTTTTGTTGCTTGACGGCCACTGCACTCTCTTTCTCGTTCTTGTTCTCTTTCTCTTTCGTGGTCGTAGCACTCGCTTTCGCTTCACGCCACGTCCACACCGCACATTGGAACAAGGCTTAGCGGATCTATCCGCACATACAGCGATTGTAATAGGGTTGACCCTGCTGCTGAATATCAAGCCTCATTTCCAGCGGTCTCATATGGCCATGTATGGTAAGTTGTTCGTTTTCCGTTGATAACAGTACCCGCGTTCGTATTCATCTATTTGGGATACCATGTCTATTATGAATAAGTAAACATCTTAGCCTGATGATTATTGATCCTTCTACCTCTAGACTCGCCATATAATTACCGTGTACAGTATTGATTGTGGTGATCCATCGATCACTGCGTGCGCATTCGTATTCAGTTTCTCGGGATGCGCTGTCAATGACAAATAAGTAATATTGCTGGGCAGACCTACCTTTACCTTAACCTTTGCTCTAAGCGTACCGTAAGCAGTAAATGATCCATCGTCCATCGATCACTGCAATCGCGTTCGTATTACCATCTAGGAGATCCATGTTTCAGGAAATAAGTAACCATCTTGGCTCCATGTACAACGACACTAGCTTCGCCTTACAAAACACAAACGTCGCGAGCAGTAATTATTTCAAAATCCATCGATAACTGCACTCGCATTCGCATCCCCTACCTCAAATGGTTGTGCTCTTTGCTGATAAGTAAGTGCTAGTTGTGTCTCGACCACCATAGCGTGTGTAGGACGGGTAGCACCGTGCCCTACTCGGATTCGCGTTCACTGCCGCACACGGCAAGCTCCGCACCTAATCGGTGTGCGCATTTGTTATCTCGTACAGAACTTGGGATCTCATAATCTCCTCTTACTGCATGTAGTATTTGCTGTGAAATGCGTGGATAGTAGTGCTCGGTCTCGCGTTGTTGTCGGGTACGGATATGTAGTTCCACTGCCGGATGTAGTACTTGTTGCGACGTGCGTCGATGACTGCGCTCGTATTCTCACTCTCGTTCTCATTCTCAATCTATCGCTGGTATTATCTTGGCGATGTTAATCTCTCATTTGGAATACTTCCTGCGCTTAGATTTCACATATCGTCATGCCTGGATATCAGGTAGGAAGGCATGCCTGGAAATGTCAAAGGTAGAGTGGCGAACTCGAGATGCGTGTCGTCAGCAGAGACTGCATGAGGCAGGAAACACAGGGAATACCGCCCAACTTTCGTTTGCTTGTACGATAGCTACACATGAAGTGTGATGGCATGTGAAGTGGTGCCGGCGTTTCGGGTGCGATACACAAAGGGTGCCCATGTGTGTTCAGTGGAGCGCGGACCGCACAGAGTGTTTTGATTGGTCGCCCCACTTTCCTAGCTACCGCGTCGGGAAATTTGCCGAAAACCATCGATGATGGCCGATTTTTAGTAATTACTAAATCCACTAAGTAAATACTACACGATTTAGCAAAATCCCGATCCCAATTTTCTGTCTGCGTAAAGCCAATCGAAACTCTTAGACATGGCTAGATACCGCATCGGGCAACCTTTTGAAAGCCATTGATCGCAGCTCATGGTAACGACCCGGTGCCCCGACGCCGCGTCGAATTGAGTCGTGGAAGGGAGCTGGCTTTGAAGTCGATCAGAGGGGGTACCACGTTAGACAAGTTCTCTCGATATCTGTAGAAATTGGTCACAGGGAGAGAATACTATATCAAGCAAGTTCTCATTGACCATCGATCATGGCAAGGGCTCTACTCTACCCCCAGTCCAGCGAGCTGCAGACAGAAAACACCATATCTAGTAACTTCTACACTGACCATCGATTGCATGTCACCCAATGCTGTGTAACCACAGACCGCGTACTGCATGTACTGTAGCCTGCAGCAGAGTACAACATCTGCAGTCATCAAACCGACCCCGCCAAATTTACTCAATTGAGAAACTTCTGGGCAAAGTGTTGATTCTAGGTGCTGTCTGCCTCCGGAGTTATCGCCTTCCAGTATCGAATTGGACACAACAGTCGTACAGGACTTGCGCGTTTTTCCGCAACGCTCCTTCCATCACTCGTATCGAGATGCTCAATATACCGTATGCAGTAAGTCGAGTGAAAGGTGTCGATTCTCGTTCCTCAAAACATATTCGACAACACCCCTGCCACATGGGGGTTTGTGCAACAAGTACATATTGCACAAGAACCCGACAACTTTGGCTGTTACACCACACATGCCGCCTTCTTTTTCAACACGACTCAACAGACTCAATATACCGTATAGAGTAAGTCACCAAAGAAATGTGGATTCCTTCCATCCTTCCACCACATTAACGGGTACACCGTCCATGCCGCCGTCCAGAGCCAGGGCACTCAAAATCCCGCGCCAAATAGTTCACGAGGGAAGTGAAGATTATGGATGCATCTGCAGAATTACACAATTGACATGGATGCACGCATGTCACCGGATTAAGGAAAAGGTCTGGTTGCAGAAAGACTCGTGGCGGGGGAGAAGAAGTTTTCATGTGTCATCATAAGAGAGCGAGATATGAGGATGCGAAGACAAGGGTAGACGAAGGAGGGGTGCCTACGATTACTGCATACAGTAAGAAAAGGAACACGGAAGAAAAAGTATAGATTGCAGTGAACTGTCAATCTCGCTTATCGCACGGCTTACAAGAGGATTGAGATTGAAGGACGATAATGCGGGAGCTGGACGCCTGATATTGCGCATGCAGTGCCACGGTTGGTTGATGTACGTTGCATGTGAAATTGACTAAAGAACAACGTGTAATATTTGTAAACATAAGAAGCAATGAGCGTACAAGTAAGCAAGCAATGAGGTAACGAAGGGTAAAAACCGCTCCGCTCTCATCGCACAAACACAGTTTACACCACATGTGGGTATCTAATACAAGAAAAACAGAGCGCCGCCCCGACCGCCCGCCGCCAACACCCAGCCTTACTTCAGAAAAACGTGTATTATCCAAGCGCCGCGAAACACCGCATCTGAAGTCCTCCGCCTCCCATTCATCCGAGTTCAATGTTGAAAAGCCTCAACCTGACCAGCATTTCTGCAGCCACTTTCTAAGGGGGTCCAGATGGCTGTGCCTGTTGTTGCCCATTTGACTCGTTCTTTGAGCGCAAGTGGTTTGTAAGCACCGTTATGTTATCGCGCGCTTCAGGTACAGTTTCGACAATGTGCCTGAGGTTGAGCATCTGTAGTTCCGAGACCGCCGAGTTCTGAGACAGGCTGGAGCCAAGAATGGTAACGATGACAGGTGAATCAATGTACGGACCAAGAATCTCAAGTGCCTTGGGTATCTGGTGATGTGGCGGTGCGTTAATTGGCGGCGTCGGTTGTTGAATAGGGACCATATTTGCAGGCGGAGCGGCGAATGGGTTACCGTACTGGCCCTGTGGATAGGCAGCACTGACAGGCGACATTTGCGGAGCATGAGGGTTGGTGAATGGAGATGGACCGTTGTTGAGAACGGGCTGAGGAGCTTGACCGGCTGCGATATCCTGTTCTGGGTATCGCTCGAAATGTTGGGTAGGAGGAAGCTGAGGTTTGACCTCAGGCAGCTTAGCAACCATGGCGAGTATCAACATGTGCTCCTTGCGGGGCGTCTCGATCGTGCAGTACTCAAGCATGTCGATGAAGGGCGGCAGGTTGCTGCCACCCTCTTCGATAGGAATGACATAGAGGTCGCGCAGTATGTCGTTGCCTTCAACAGGTACTACACCCCATCTGCCACGCGAGTGGAAGTATTCGTACAGATGGTCCATGATCGTGCGCCCGTCCGTGGTGACGGGACTGATAGCAAGGATCGACACCTCATGGCTTTCGGTGTGTCCGATGTTTTGAATGTAATCGTTACCCTTGGTACTTTCGATGCGTCCTTGAATCGCCACAATGTTGGTCAGCAGCTTCTCCCAAGGCACAATTTGACCAAAATCTCCACCAGCGACGAATCTAGCAACAGCGTCAAAGGGTTCCATTGACTGCATGTTGATAGATCCTTGCCAGCATACTGTCGGGTCCGAGGAATAACCTGACATTTCTACATCGTTGTCCTCATCCTTGAGCAAACGATCAACGTCCGCGTCATCCACGGCGGCTTGAGGCTTGTCTTGCATATGCATCGAACTCTGGCGACGCTGAAGGAATGTCTGCTGATCATGCTGCGGCGATCTGACTTTGTCGAAGACAGAGTTGATGTCAAAATTGGCCGATGCCCGTCGTGCATGCTCGGCCTGCGAAGCATCATTCCCAGTAGATGGTCGTGCGCCTGCAGGACTCTCTGGTGGGCGTGTTCCGATAGGTGACTGCATAGCTGTGTCCTCGGTGATGCTCTCGCGCTCGCGAAGACTGGGCTGCTTGAAGTCATCATGGTCATTCTCGAAGGTGTCTTCGCCAACAAGCTCTTCGCCCTTGTGTGTCTTGCGTAGTCGTGGTCCAGTCTCCTCGGTTAAGATCATCTGCTTCTCAGCCGCTTCGCGCATGGCGGCGTACTCGCGTTGCTTGTCTTCGCTCGCCATCTCTTCCGCCTCCATGCTCACGAGGTCATCGGCTTTCAGACTTCCAGATAGGAGGCGATCTACAAGGACCGTGTTCTTCTTGACATTGAACATAATGGCCCGCATTTTGATAAAGTATGGCGAAGATGAACCTGTGGGCTCACCGTAGAGCTCAAAAGCAGCGTGGCTCATTTGAAGAGTGAGCTTGGTGGCGAGAGACTTGGCTGTCTGGCCGTCAGGTATGCGGTATCCCCTGGAGTCGGAGGCGGTGCTAATCAATGGTGCCAGGGTATCACGGAGTTTCTCTGCGACAGCCTTCTGGTTTTGCGGCAGCGCATCGATGTCACCAACTGGAGTTGATTGGGGAGCAGGCTTGCTCTCGTGGTGACTGGACTTTCTACGCTTCTTGCTGGCGTTGGCCTTTTCGGTGGCAGGCTCGTGGCGACGCTTCTCGCCGACAGGCGATTGTGGCTGACTCTTGTTTTCCTGCTGAAGTATGTGAGTTTTTGAACGTCTAGTTGGATGGTGGCAACATACCTTGGGCTCTGCATGTCCATTGGAAGCTTCTGGCGTGGGTTCAGCTACCGGAGCGGGCGGAGACGTGGGAGTCTCGACAGGAGCTGGAGCGGTTTGCGAGGGGGTCGCCGAAGCCTGCGGTGTGCTCGCCTTCTCCGAGACGGCTTCCTGCTTGACGTCGCTGGGGCGGGGCTTCGGCTTGGAGCCCTTCTTGCGCGCCCATGGTCTCTCTCCGCGCGCCATGGCAGCAAGAAGCTCGACATGATCTTCGGGCTTGCACTGCTCGCAGTAGTAGTTCTTGCCTTCCCAGAAGTCGCCTTCGGGTAGGCCCAAGCACTTGTTGTGTTGCCAGGCCTCGCATTTGTCGCAGCAGATCATCTGGCGTCCACGGATGTCGCGCTGGTCACCGCATACACACCGGATGATGGCATCTTCCTCCTCCTCATCGTCATCGTTTTCAGCGGACTGCGTCGATTGTGCCCGCTGTTGTTGTGTCTTTGCTTGTCCCTTCTTGGTTTGCGCCTGTCCTTTCTTTGTCTCCGAGGCTGGCGGTGCTGCTGCTGCTGCTGCCTTGGCCTTGGGAGCGGGGGAGGGCTCGTCGAGCGCATCTTGATTCTTGGTGTGGTGGCCTTTGTTGGCGCGGCCAGAGCGCCGAATCTCGTCTGTAGTGGCAGTATCAGCATCAGCATCAGCGTGAGGTTTGGGGATGGGCGCGCGCGTGGTGGTGCTGGTGCCATGAGGGGCGCGACTTGGTGGCTTCATGGAACAGAGGCGCGTAGATGGTGTCTGCTTACCGGCCATGGTGTAGGACACGGGTGATGGGCTCAATATAGACGATACCACGAGTGCAGCTTATGCTATGTGCGAAACAAGATTCAAAAAGTCTCTACGAAAGCCCCAATCCTGCCTTGCGCGTCGCACTGCGGGTCCACGGACACGCCGTATGAACCGGCCTCTAACTAGTAAACGAGTGCGAACGGGCGCTCCTGCCTAATTGTACAGACAGAAGGCGCGATGCGTCGTGCGACTGCCGATTATGAGTCGCAACTGCCTCTTGCGCGTACCTGCCGAGTGCGGAGCCGGTGCCACGCGATGTGAGGGCGCGAGAGAGACGACAACTTGGAGTGATGGAAGCTCAATGCATGCGCTTGATCGTGAGCGCACTGTGGAAATAGCAGTGGGAGGTGAGGGGACTGCGATACCGAGTCGCAATGTGTCGTGTGGTGTCGGACTGAGTGGTGTCAGTGAGGAGGTGGAGCTTTGACACATCGTTTTGCCGATGTCTTGGCTGCCGTAATCCTTGCCACTAGCGAGCTGTGGACCCTTTGCGCGGCTGCCGGCTGGGCTGGATGCTCGGAGCTATTGGAGAAGCGCCAGAATCTCAACAAGAACATCGGTGGAATTAATCTATACACGCGTTCGCGGCGACACATACAGACTCATCTTCAGACCGAATATCATCCGAACCAATATGGCCGACGCACGAGCTCTTTTGCGACAACAGCGCGCAGCACGGCAACAGGCGCAAAAGCCCCAAAAGCAATCGGCAGCTCCTGCGACTGCACCCACGTCCAAAAAGCGCAAAGCTGCGGATGACACGGTCGAGGAGAGGAAACGCACGCGAACAGAGGAGGAGGCCGGTGTGCCAGCAGGTTTCTTCGATGCTGGGGCTGCGAAAAATGAGGAAGAGGTCGCGCCGGAAGCCACAGCCCAGGAGAGCGCGCCAATACAAGACACCAAGCCATCAGAACCACCAAAGCCGGCTGAGCCGCCACTCGATGCTACAGCTCAAGCGGAGCTCGATGCCTTCTTGAACGAGATGAACGCTGCGAAACCCGCGTCACCTCCGCCCACCAAAATAGCCTACTCGGGCGCTGTCATTGAAGCTGCGCCCATGACAGCCGCAGAGATCGCCGCACAAGCGCGTGAGGACCAGAGTGCACAACGGGCGAAACGGGATGAGGAGATGGAGGGCGAGAAGGAAGATGCTGCGCGGGCACTGGAAGATGAATTCGAGGAGATGGAAGGCCTCGAAGAGAGAGTCAAGCGGCTACGCGAACAGAGGGAGGCCCTTCGCTCTACCTCTGGTGGGATAATCAAGGTAGAGGACGATGGTGTCAAACCAGCTCCTTCCGCTGAAGAAGACGGAGAGAGCGAGTCTGACGACGACGAGGACTGGGACGACTGGAGATTTCGTCCCGCCTGAGTCCTATAACTGCATTGCATACAGCAAGCTTTCTGGCGGTCGACGCATGTAACATACTGTAGCATACCACCATTGTGATACCCGGGGTCAGGAGTTCCCAAGCATCAAGCATTCAGTCCTAGCAGGGTTGTCCTTGTCGGTCGAATACGACTTTACATAGAAGCGATGAACTATTCTGCTTTTCATACATGATAATCCAAGACACACACCATTCCACCGAAAAGCAAGCCCCTGGCATGTGAGATGGCGGTACCGAATGCCAAGCCGAGCGTCATGGGTGAGAAACATCAAACGGTTGGGCAGGCACGAACGAAACGACCTAACCCCACTCGCCCAATTCCACCCTCGATTGACACGTGCCCTCGCGATATACTGCTCTCCTCTTCCAGACACACGCGTTGAAATACGACTACGCTTACGCACTCCGAACATAGTCTCCGCATACGACCGTCTACCCCACAATGTCGCGACGGCCCAACCCTGCCGCTGATCGGGCGGAACAGAATCGTGCGACGCTCAAGAACTTGGTGAAGCTTGAAGGGAACAAGACTTGCTCAGACTGCAAGAGGAACAAGCGTATGTTTTCTGGGCCTTCAGTATTATTCGCATTCGCTAATGGTCGCTGCAGACCCACGATGGGCCAGCTGGAACTTGGGCGTCTTCATCTGCATTCGATGTTCGGGAATTCACCGTGGTATGGGAACACATATCAGTAAAGTCAAGTCAGTCGATCTTGATACCTGGACCGATGAGCAACTCCAAAGCGTGCTGAAATGGGGAAATGCGCGAGCGAACAAGTACTGGGAGTCAAAACTGGCGCCTGGCCATGTGCCGTCGGAGGCAAAGATTGAGAACTTTATCCGCACAAAGTACGAGTCGAAGCGCTGGGTCATGGACGGACCTATGCCGGATCCTTCTACTCTAGAAGCAGACGACGACGACGTGGTGAGTTAAATAGGGTAGTGGTTATATCAGGACAAGAGCTAACAACAGACGTAGCCGTTGAAGAAGGTTCAGGAGAAGGTCCAAATAGAACGCTCAGCATCACAACGCCTAGCCCAGAGCTCCAGCCAGCCTCCTCCTCCGCAAAGACAGGCACAGCCTCAACCAGCCATCGACCTATTTGGCGACGATCCTGTTCCTCAGCGACCGAGCACCGGACCACCAGTCGCAGCGAGAGCGCCCCCGAAGGCAGAGCCAGCACCACCGAAACAGAACAAAGCAGGGGATTCATTGTTAGGATTGGACTTTCTTGGTGGATCATCGTCTGTAGCACCCTCTCGTCCGTCCAGCACGGGGCCCGCTGCTGCGGCACCATCAAGACCGGACCTCAAGCAGTCGATTTTGTCGCTATATGCCTCGAAGCCCGCAGCTCCGCCCCAACCACAGCAGCATGCACGTCAAGACTCTTTTGGTGGATTGGCGTCTCCTCAGGGACCGGCATCGCCGTCACAATCGGCCTTTGGTGGCATGAACGATGCATTCAGCAGCCTGTCCTTCAACGCCGCTCCGGCACCCAAGCCCTCGCCGTTCTCTGGTCTCGATAGCTTTTCAAGCGCAAAGTCACCGCCCTCCACATCTTCATCAAACATGTTCGGTGGTGGGGGCAACTTCTTCGATTCCAAGCCTGCTCCACAGAACCAGTCGCACAGTCGTACCATGAGCCCTTCAGGTGGCTTGTCTGATTTCAGCGCTTTCTCTTCGCCCGCTCCATCTAAGCCTGCAGCCCCCGCAGCAAGCGGCATGAACGATTTGCTTGACCTATCCATGCCATCTGCACCGGCCCCTGCACCGAGGGTCACCTCCCCGCCACTAGCATCACCTCCCGCAAGCTCGGCCTTCAACCTCTCTTCGCCTGCACCGGCGCCTGCTCCCAAGGCTGCTCCTGCGCCCGCGGCTGTAAACTACTCAGGATTTTCTAACATGGACGCCTGGGGTAGCAATGATGTCTGGGGTTCTTCTGCCCCTAGCCAACCGGCAGCAACAACTACCACATCGCATGCTCAGCCCACCACTCCTGGCTGGGGTGCACCACAGGTAACACAAGACGATGACTTTGGGGGCTGGAGCAGTGCTGCGCCCACTACCACGACGCAGACAACCACTACTACACACACCACCACTACTCAAAGTAAGCCTGCAGGAGGATTCGGAGGCGGCAGCGATGACCTCTTTTCGAACGTCTGGGAGTAAGAGCTGCGCATAATGGATGCCTTCTGGCTTGACGATCGTTGCGTCTTATGTACCTTAATGCACGTCTTGCTGAAGATGATCCAAAAGCGAGTATGGAATAGAGTGTAATGTACATAGTGTACATAGTGATGTTTATAGACCGCTGAATTGAAACAATAATAAACACCCATGCCCTGTACGTGGAAGTGCTCCCAAACGCCGCATATGCTGGTACCCAATACGCTTTCCCCCTGCTCGGAAGCCTGACCCATATACCAAGCCATCACAGTCCCATCCGCTCAGTTGTTTGATATCTTCCGTGCCCGTCATCGCGTTTTGCTCTGTCGTATCTTCCACAACTCACGTAGCTGCGCCTGACATCGAGCCGTTGCTGAGAAACATCGTCTACCCTGGCCGAATGATATTACGAGGCAAACTGCGACTTTAAAAGACCAAATGCCATATCCAATATAGAACCACCACAGTCGCTATTATTATGCCTGATAACTTGAGGATGGCTACTTTGTTTCCCGACGATGCCATGCGCGTTAGGCGTGTTGCGGAGCCTTTGAGGGTTGTGGAGAAGGAGGAGAATGTATCGGACTATGATTGGAATGTCAGTTGTGATTTGGTGAAGTTTGAATGCATCCGTTGGGTGAGTGAGATCAGACACGAGGAAGAAGGGTAGCAGAGAGATGGAGGGGTAATATGGTGGGAGTTGAACCGTTGCGTTCATGCTCATGGGAATGTAGGTATGTTCTTGACGTTGGGTCTAGGGGGACGTACTGTGCTGTCGATGACATGTTGATCGCGTGCGTTGTCATAGATGTCTATTGTGACGCCTCGAAGTGCCGAGACTTTAGAGGCCAGCTCATCCAGTCGAGAGTTGTTCTGTTGCTCGCGCTCGTAGGCTTGCGACATGGTTATGCTATGCGCCTCCGGCTTCTTTTGGTTGCTTCGGGTTGCGAGGGCAGTGTGGCTGAGAGTGGGGTATCGCGTCGTCGGAAACCGTATTGGTCTTCTTCAAGGAATTAACAGAGTGCTGCAGGTATCTCCAAGGCTGATTTCTGGTTCGTGGCTGTCTCAACGCGACACCCAGCGGGTGACGTTCGGGCGCCAAGGGACCCTGAGTTGATGGGGTTAGCGTCGAAGGGCGCGCGCATGCGTCTGGGGAAGCTGCGTTTGCCAGCAACTCCCACGACTTGGTCTTCTACCTAACATCTCATCTACCATCATCTTCGCCGATCTCTCTTCTTCATTCTTGGTGTCGCATGATCCACCTTGCATTTTTTGTCCCATTAATCACTACATTGAGTATGCAACCAGAAAAGAAAATTGTTGCCTCTTGCGCTGTCCATCACTACCAGAGAACAGCGTACTATTGCCTCTAGCTGTAAGGCATACTAAAGATCACACAATCTGGAATGAGAATATAACAAGGCTTCGCTTCTTATCTGTTCGTTGTTGTACGCCATGGATTCAAAGTATGGAAAGATGTTGCAATCTGCAAAGCCATCAACTCGAAACGCGATGGGGTCACTCACGAGCTGCAGTGTTCTGAGAATGTACCATGCGTCTACTGCGCCGCAAACTAGACCATGTCTAGGCAGGGGAAAAGCAATCATCACAACAACGCCAGCTATCCATTGCGGAGTAGATGTGGCATGTCACTCAGCATATGCATCGGAGGGCTTGGGAGCTTCAACTTCGTGGAGTTGTGTTCCCATAAATAGTATGCGGACACTATCTGCGTCAGTCTTTCTCATCCCCCCACGGGACTAGTCTTCTTTCAGGGGCTAAGACATTTCCGCAGGTCGACACTGCTCGACCGTATCTGCATGTTATGGCCACAAGGCTGAGGTTGAGCGTACAGCTCGAATTCATCCACAGTCTCACCATAACGATGAACTGCATATCCTTATCGTATTCAGTCCTTGGCTCTAAATCCGCCGGATTTGGCTCTTGCTCACTGCTCAGATCATGCTCCGCCTTGTATATGTTCCAGTAGCAGAGTGCCAACGCTACAGGGAATGTATCTCAGCTTGCATATCTTATTACCGAAAGGACCTCAGGATTACAAAGTAGGGGTCGATTATCGTTCCAGAAGTACCCCAGCCTAGTCGATGTAAGTCCGAAGGATGCTATACCCTACTTGATCGCCGCATCTGGTATGGCGCTAGTGGCGAAGTAGTGCACTGAAGCGTATTCGGTTCCATCCCACATATTCGGCCCCCATCTGTGCTACGCCGCAGAGGCTCGTGCTGTTGAATGGTACATACCTGGAGGTATTGTGAGATGGGAGAGTTAATGTATAAATGAGTATGTTTGATCCTGTGTCGGCAGCAATTCTCAGGCTTTTGCTATGTTCTTTGGGTTGATTGTAGCCTGATTTTCTTTCAAAATTCTTGTTTGCTTGCTTTCTACAGCAATGGCGTCTCTTCGCACCCTTCTCCTTGCGTGTGGAGCCTTGTGGGCTAGTGCTGCAGTTGCAGTACTTGATTCTACTGTAAAAGTCCGCAATGCCCCAGGCCAGTCTACGGAAGATACATATCTTGCCATCGGGCGAGGCCTAGCTGCCGCTAGTCTGGAGAAGCGTGGAAATTTCTCAATTCCCCCCATGGATATAGCAAGAAGCTGGAGCGGCGCTACTCTACTGTCGGTGTAAGTGATTATATGCGGTCGTCAGAGTTGCTATACCAGACAAAGGTTGACAGCCGCCTCTAGAGAAGTTGCATCAAACCCATCGCTGAACCACGACAACAAGACACTCGAGGTCAAAGCTGGTATCGAAGTCACCTGTACAAAATGCTATGTGAAGGGAGTTGCTACTGCTGAAGTCACGATCGACGGCGACTTTAACGCCACCCAGCTTGTTCAAGGAGCCATTGATTCAGTCGACACAGCTGTTCAGAACCTCACCGATCAGTTTGAAGGCTATCTGGACAGAGCGATAGAGAGATTCAACGCCAGTGACGGGATTGATGCGTCAGATTTCGAGTACCCAACATTTGAGCTTCCGTTTGACCTGAATGTTTCCGCTATACCTGAAGCCAACCTACGCTTCCAATTCGATGGCATGGAGCTATACCTAGAGATCGGCACAGTTCTCAGCGCTGGAGCGACATACGAAATCACACTCTTTGCAACACAAAGTCCTATCGGAGCCAGTATAGGTCAAGACCTGATGCTTGGTGCTGTTCTCACAGTGGACCTCATACTGGCCGTGGAAGATGCTATCGATATTAGTAGCGGCTTTCACGTCAAACTGGACGACGGTGTCGCCATTAACCTTCCGTTGTTCGGAGACGAAGTAGCTGATATGACTGTGTAAGAATCCTTCCCCTCGCGATATGCCCTTACATTACCAGACGTATCTTTCGCTTGCTGATCCGCATATTACTCTTATCTTGTTCGTGCACATCCGAATTACGGGCAAGTAGCTGACTATTCTCTTAGTAAGGGTGGGAAATTTGAGTTCTTACCTGTCACCCTTGAAAGTGCGAGCGTGTCCATAGCCGCGGCTTTACGGATAGGCGCTCACTGCGGTCTTAAGGTGACGGCGCCAGAGACTGGTATTTTTGAAGCGCTCAAGGATTTTGCGCTTCCAGAAGTCCAAGCCGGTATTGAAGTGGCCGTCTTCGCTAACGTTGCCGAATTCACCACCAACGTTACGTACACTCCGGATGACAAAGAATGCGAGCTGAAGGTCATTCAAGAATACAACTTCGCTGTCGGTGCGATCGCCGGTGCATCAGTCGCCGTTGAGTTCCTGAACGAAACAAAGACATGGGGACCTGTAGCAGAAACATCTACTGCCATCTTCACAACCACGTTGGCTGAAGTATGTGGGATACAGGGCAAGCCAACCATGACACAGGCTACGATCACACCCGCCTTCGAGAGACGACAAGATCTCTCCGCGGCAACAATTAGTACTGTAATCACCCGGAGCGGCGTCAGCTGCAAAGTCCCTGGTCTGGTCAACTGCCCCAACTCTGCGCAAGTTACCACTAGCACGACGTTCGAGTCCACCATGACAACATCTGTACCATCAGGAGTCGAAGCAACGTGGCCAGTGGAAACAACCGACGCTGTAGATGAGACCGTTGCATTCGGTACTCAGGCGAAGACGATGAAAGCTGTCTCTGGTAAACCGACGCCATATGTCGCACCGCCCAGTGAAGAGGGTGATGACGAAGGACACCGTCTTACTAGCACGACTGGAGGTGTCAGTAACAAGGTCATCATTGGTGTTTGCGTCGGCCTGGTTCTGCCCATCCTGGCTGCCATCATTGGAGCTATCATGTGAGTTTGACATTCCACGGGCGTGATGATACTGGTTCGAGTACTAACTCGTCATTTCACAGCTTCTTCCGTAGGCGCAAGAGGTATAATGCAGTGGGAAGACCTGCTGCACCCATGCTCGCCGAGCCGTACACGGGCCTTAACGACTATACCAACCAAATCCATGATTCCAAGTCGCCTAATGAGAATATTGCTGAGATTCAACGTTGATGTATTTCATTGCTACTGGTTTCCCATCAATTCCGAAAGTCTGTACCGCCGCACAATGCTGAGAATCCCTTATCGTTACGTCGTGTTTCGGGTAGTTGGCTTGCTTTCTATCTGTGTTCCTCTCACTGGTGTTGCCGGCTCGGCAACAGTTGCCGTATACCTTAGACTCTATACAATTATGTTTTTCTAATCATCTGGTACTATTGAGGTGCTCGCTGGACTGGCGGACCCCACATGCGGAACGATGAGGAGACAGCAAGCGGAACGGCATCCCCATCCGGCTTAGCCAACGACGTCATTACATTCGAAGCTCATCTCCCAACCTCCAGGATCGTCAATTCCGCGCTCAACGCGAAAGCTTCCCCATGAAAAGTGGATACATCATCCGGTGCAACATCGTTCAAGCCAGCAGCCAAGTATAGCCAAGACAGCCACCCCGCACTTTGCATGGCGGGGAAGTACCTTTGCAGGCTAATAAACTGCAAGAAACATTCCACGGGCAGCGGTTTATGTACTGCCCAGACGGTAGCATAGGTTCATTTTTCCGACCATCACGAGACATGCGCATGATACGGAGGGAGATGACCCGTGGTGCTGCTCTATCACATCACACATTTCTGTTCGTATACAAATCAGCTGTGTAACGATCGACTCCAAGTTTCACGCTTGCCATTGACTCCCAGTGAGCTCATCGTTCTGTCTGCTTATCAGATGAACCTTGTCTGAAGCTGGCTTCTATTTCAGCCTGTTATTGTCTGTCATGATGACGGGCTTCCTTCGGACACTGTACCACTCGTACAGCTTGTTGCTCGTGGGCGTTATATTATCGAACTACGCCGATGTCGCAGCCTCTCATGTGGTCGCGAAAAGGCAATCTCAAACAACTGGTCGCCAACGCACGTCACTCAATGCTGACTGGCGTTTTGAACGCTTCACCTCGGATCCAGACGGCCTGAGCTACGAGGGCCTGAGGCCGTGGATCTTGCCTTGTGCAAACGACTTCATCACCGGACAAAAGTACGAGCGGCCATCCGCTCCTGCCCCAGGCGCCAATATCAGCTATGTCTCTTCCAGTTTCGATGACGCAGAGTGGGAGGCTGTCGCCCTTCCCCACGACTGGGCCATTTCCGGCACTTTTGATGCCCCTGGAGTTGATGGAGGTCTTGGTAAACTGCCAATCAATGGTATCGGATGGTACCGACGTACGCTCTCCATGGATGCCGAGACCCTCCAGTCTGGAAAATCTGTCTTTCTCGATGTTGATGGCGCCATGTCGTATGCTGCGGTATGGTTGAACGGTCAGCTCGTTGGTGGATGGCCTTACGGTTACAACTCTTTCCGCCTTGACCTCACTCCATATGCGAAGGCTGGAGACAACACTCTAGCTATTCGTCTGGACAACAAGCTAGACTCGTCGCGTTGGTACCCAGGCGCTGGAATCTATCGCAACGTTTGGCTCGTCACCGTTAACCCAGTTCACGTCGGACAGTGGGGAACCTACGTCACTACCCCAAGCATCTCAGAAGCAGAAGCCACTGTTGAGATAACAATTGAGGTCGAAAACAAGGGTAACAGCAGCCAGCACGTTGAGGTAGTTACGGAAGTCTTTGAGCGTGATGCAGCTTCCAAGCAAGCAACCGGCAATGCTGTCGCAACATTTCCATCGGCGAACGCAGATGTAGCAGGCCATGCAAAGCAATCAGTACAAGGATCAGTCACCGTTGCGAATCCCAAGCTTTGGGGGCCACCACCCAGCCAGACACCGAATGAATACATCGCTATCTCTACCGTCTCAGTCGGGGGTCAAGCGGTGGACAGCTATGAGACCGTCTTTGGCATCCGCTCCGTCGCATACGACCCGAATCAAGGTGTTCTCATCAACGGTGAGCGTATCTACATCCAAGGTTCTTGCAACCATCACGACTTGGGTGCTCTTGGAGCAGCCTTCAACACCAGAGCTGCAGAGCGTCAGATCCAGATTCTACAAGAGATGGGCAACAACGCACTTCGAACGTCGCATAACCCACCCGCACCTGAGTTTCTCGACCTTGCCGACCAGTATGGCCTTCTAGTTATGGATGAGATCTTCGATACTTGGAACTTCCCCAAAACTGAGAATGACTTCCATCGCATTTTCCAAGAATGGCATGAGCCGGACACTCGCTCGTTCATTCGTCGTGACCGTAATCACCCCTCTATCATCTCATGGAGTGTGGGCAACGAGCTTCCCGAACAATCCAACTCGACCGGTACCGAGACTGGAAGGACACTCCAGAATATCGTCCGTGAAGAAGACTCAACGCGCCAAGTGACTATCGGAATGAATGAGGCTGATGCCGACACGGAGATCGCTGCTGTCATCGATATCGTTGGTCTCAACTATCAGGGTGAGGGCAAAGGAGACTCCTGGGTAGCAAGTTTCCCCGGTTTCAAAGAAGCCTTCCCAGAGAAGATGATCTGGAGTACTGAGTCAGCATCTACCCTCAGCACCCGCGGCAAATATCTCTTCCCTGTTACTGCAAACAAGAGTGCTATCGTCGGTGGCGGGCCACTGGAAGGCGGAGATCCAGAGACCAACATCGTAAGCTCTTATGATCTTTATGCACCAGAGTGGGCCGCATCACCCGACAAGGTCTTTGAGCAGCAAGACAGACACCCCTACGTTGCTGGCGAATTCGTCTGGACTGGCTTCGATTACATCGGTGAGCCTACACCTTATGCCAACGAAAGTCGTAGCTCCTACTTCGGCATCATCGATCTCGCTGGTTTCAAGAAGGACCGATTCTTCCTCTACCAAGCTCGCTGGAGACCAGACTTCCCAATGGCACATATCCTTCCACATTGGACGTTTTCCGAAGACCGCATTGGCGAGATCACACCCGTCCATGTCCACACATCAGGTGACGAGGCGGAGCTGTTCGTCAACGGCATCTCAGCTGGCCGCCAATCCAAGGGTAAGTACGATTACAGACTCCGCTGGGATGGGGTACAATACCGTCCTGGAAATATCAGCGTTGTCGCATACAAGAACGGCGAGGAATGGGCTAGGGCATCGCAGTTCACAGCTGGTTCCGCTACGACACTCAACGTGACTGCAGACCGCACAACGATCGCTGGTGATGGCTATGATCTCTCGTTCATCACTGTGTCTGTGCTTGACGAGAACGGTATCGTGGTTCCTGACGCGGCCGACGAGATTAGTTTCGAAGTCACGTCTGGGCAGGGCGTTATTGTTGCTACAGACAACGGTGATCCCACAGATATGAGGCCGTTCCCAGAATCGACGAGGAATGCCTTTAGCGGAATGGCATTGGCTATTGTAAGGAGCGAAGCGGGTGCTAGTGGGGAAATTGTTGTTGAGGCAAAGGCCGAGGGACTAGAAGGTGGCAGAGTGGTGCTCACCGCTAGCTAGATATGCCATTATGATATAGGATACTACTATAACAATAATACAGAAACTTTCCAAAGAGAAAACCCAAGAAGCAAGACTAAAGTTATTCGTCATCTTCGTAGTCCATCTCTTCGTCTTCGTCATCTTCATCATGGTCGTAATGATTCTCGTCCTGCAATCCCATGTTAGCATTCTTCCATATGCAATCAAAGGAAGAGCAAGATTGTGATGCTCACGTACCTCATCCCCTTCCATTCCACTAGTATTCTTCAACTCATCCATATCCCACACACTTTCTGGCAATCCTGCGATCCCCACATCCCTCTGCACAGTAATAATTCCAAACTCCTCAACGCCACAGAAGCCTCCACCCCTCTCACTCTTGCCAAAGAATCCCACAATAAACTCATTAGGGCTGGGCGTCAACTTCACAATCTCCGAGTGATGCCTCGTGTTGAGCTCGCCCGCGCTTGTGCCGTTGCTGAGATGCATCCTTACACCATCCCTAGGGTTGACTTCGATAGAAGTAATCTCCACTCCTTCGGGGAGGCGTAGCTTCTCGGAAGCGTGACCACCGAAATGGTGTTTGCTGCCATATGTACGCATAGGTCCCCAATGGCTTGTGTGGCCATCTGCATACTTCACCACACCTCCATCCCATAGACATCCTACTCTCAGATCGATGGACACGGCGCGGTGCACTTTTCCGTCCTTGCCCTTCTCGTGAAGGAGCTGTGCCTATTCATATCGACGAGCGTTGTTGGACTCATCAGGGAAGGCTAGGCGCTTTACGAGTCGAATATTGGAGCCTGGGATGCGGATGAACGTTTTGCTGGCGAGGACCTTCCATACGTTGCCGATGCTGGTTTCCTTGCCGTTGAAGGCGAGTATATTGAGTTGTAGGGGTTTAGATCGGTCAAAGCGCTCTTCAAGAGCGGATTCCATGTACTCCATGCGCTTCGGTGCGCTGTGAATCCAGCCAAGGGGTTGGGTTGTCTCTGTGTGGTTGAAGGTGATGCGTACGATACCGCTGCTTGAGCCGATGACGAGTTTTGATGGACCTTCATCATCGATTTGCTCAGCGTAGGCCTCGGGGGATGCTTGGCGTTCTTCGTCGCTGATTACGGGATCAATGGGAAGGCGGAAATGAGGCAGCATGCGGAAGGAGAGCGCATCGGCTAGATTCCAACGAGCTTTGTTAGGTGTGCTATGAGGGTCGACAAGTACGCCTTCTGCTTTGAGGCGACCAGAGTACGCGGTCTTGGGGAGAAAGTTCTTGGGCCAGTCTTGTGCATATCCGCGCTCCATGATGCCTGAACGATGAGGCGATCCAAGTGCATGGCCGACTTCATGGAGGAAAGCGCCTTGGCCAATGGCGCACGCTTCCCACATGGTGTTGCATTCTCCATTGTCATCACCTACCTTGTCTCCAGGTTTACGGATATCTGTAAGACAACCTGTGACTTCCTCTAGGAAGCGCGGCCAGGAGTAGGCCAGATGGCTACCGAACATGCCCAGCGAGATTCCATCGGGGTTGTGGCAACCCAAAGCTGCGTGTCCGAGGATCAGCTTCTGCGACACATTGTAGTGTGAGTCGAGAATCAATCCAGCAACGATGGGATGGGCCTCAGAAGCAAACGGTCCTCCCTTTTCCTTGAGCGCTTCCAGAAAGTAGTCGAACAAGCCATTACTCCGACGGGCGGAAGGATTCTGTTGTGCAACCTCCTTATCGCGGATTTCTTTGACGGTTCTAGAAGAGCGAATGATGTTGACTTTGGCCGTCGATCGCATGGCACCTTCGCCATCGAGAGCCCCGTCAACTTGCGCATTGAGAAAGTCACGACTGATCGTGTCAGCTGTCCATTCCTCATCCAATCTGAACGATCGGCGTCCAGCTCCTTGCAGCCTCAGGTCTTCCGCAGTCATAGCTTGCCACATATAAGCTGCCATGCGGACCTTGGCGATTGCTGCGTCGAGGTCTGAGTGTGCCGAAGAAATCCCAGCGGCCTTTGAAGGTGGGCAGTCGATGATGCATGGAGAGTCTGCGGCAACCATTATGGCGAGGTGAAGAGGTGGACATTGCAAGAGCGGAATGTAGTTGACATTCATCTCGATGGTGTGTTCGAGGCAGTCATTGCAGACGTATGCAAATTCGAGGATATTCTGCCCTGGCGAGAGCATAACAAGAGCCTTGAAGTTACCACCTGCTATCGGCCACGTCTGCTCGGGAAACGATTGGGCGTTGTTGGCACCTTTAGTAGCGACATGGATGTAACTGCCTTCAGCGACGGGAAGCGTAAAGGTACCTGTAACCAAGAGGCAGCGCTATGATATGTGTTAATTGTAGCCTGTCAACCCAGAGAATGTAATGTACCTGATGAATTGTTTCCCCGTCCGTCAGATTGGTGATGTGGAGAGGGCTTGCAATTGGCGCCATCTTGTTGAAATCGTAATAATATATTGCTGGTAGCGCGTTTCGATGATATTGTGTGAGCGATGTGAAAACAATGTAAAACAATGTAGAAAGAGTTGGTGATGTGTGTAAGTTGTCGTCTTTCTGTGAGTCTTATATGCCATCTCAAATAGCCGTAGGCGATGGTCAGTACTCCCTAGTATATATTAGCGTTCAGGCAGCCGTCCCGAAACGGCTAGTCTCAGGGTGCTGCCTCACCAATGACGCTTGACAACATCCCCAAATTAGAGTCACAATCTAGACTGCTCGGATGCTAGAGAACGTGAGATATTTCAGGCGCTCCACCAATCGACGCGACACTGAATTGCGCTGATAATTCGACAATATCTACCAACACCCATTACATCACCATACATTCCTCGTTCGCACCTCCCAGAGCGCGACCCATCATCGATTTGAGCGCCTGAGCCTTGAACATCGCCTCTAAATCGGCGTCTCCAGTCGTGCCCTCAGTCTGTGTGACAGCGTCCGCGAGTGCATCCTTCTTCTGTTGTTTCTGCTCTGCCGTCCAACCTTTGTACAAATTGTCGATACTTAGGGGTCCATCATCCGCAGAGTTGCTATCAGTCAATCAGTCAGTTGTCAGTTCATCTTTGCGGTTCAAACTGTCAGTCTGGAGGTAGTGAACTGACCTGATTGACTGCCAAGACATTTTTTAGAATCGCGAACTGAGACTG